AAGGAATAAGTGCTGCAAGCAACTCCTTCACACAGCTACCAGTGTTTGGGATGTGGTAGCTGGGCACGCTCAAGAAACGGACCCAGTGTGGCTGGTTTTGACAAGGTCTGGACTTAAGCTTGAGTTCACTTCTCTCATGCACTGAGCTCCCTTGACTTGCTGCAAAGGGGTGTCTGTGCCTGCTGGTATTAGGACAACAGCTCTGTGTTTCTCTGTGGGCAGCACTGGAAAATCGCTCAGAGGAGACGTGGTGAGGATGGGGGGGGCATCAGCCATGGCCAGCCCAGGGATGATCTCGCAAGAGGTACGCAGTGGAGCATCGCCATTAAAACCAGCCTCTCTTCCTCTTAAATGGACTAGAAATGGAGAACAATTGAGGGTTTAAACAATCAGATGTGTGAAGAGAGGCACCCAAGGCAGGTGGTGGTGAGACCTTGTTGGGCTCGGAGGTCAGAGCAAGCTCCCAGGGAGAGAAGCAGCAGCAGTCACCGCAAAAAGCCTTTGAGAAGAGTTCACCTGCCAATTCTGTTCTTCCCAGTGCAACACGTGCATTTTACAAAGGCTGTGCCTTGGGCAGCTCCTAGGACCCATGTTACAATTCATGCTAAACGTACATCACTTCCAGCTTTCCCATGTTGCAGATGGAACTGATGCTCTCCTGTTTGTATGTGGGAGACAAACACATCTCACGTACAAGCAAATATTTACCCAGTGTCTCCTCTGGGTATTCCCGCTGGGACCTGGCACTTTGCACTTCACAGATCTTCCCATCACTGTTGGGTTCAGTTATTAGATGGGTGATACAATTTCCTGCCCTCCTTGTTCTCAGTTCTTTACCCCAGACATGTTAGCGGGATCACCAGCAGGCATAAATCAACAGAGCTCTGCCAAAATCAGATTTACAGCTGGTGCCAGTGTCACCCACAGCATTAGCTGCTGCTCTGTGTCTGGGAAATGAATGTTTTATGGCCATGGCAAGCCTGCTCCTGACGGCAGAGCGTGTGCTGCAACCGAGCTCCTCTTGGAGCCCAGTGCTATGGCTTTGGGCTCAGCCACAGTTCACCCCAGTCAGCACTCACGGCAAGGCAGAAGGAGCAACTTTTCCATAGAGGCACTCAGATCACCCCTAACAGGTTCCACATAGACCTTCAGATTGCCTTTACCAGCTCCCATCAGAGGCTGGATCTGCTCCCTCCACTCCTCCATCACGGGGCTGGGACACTCCTGCTCCAGCATGCTGAAGCTGAACGTTATCAACACTATCCCACCAGTGCCCACTTCAGGGGGGGTTACTCAGACTTGCTGAAAAGCTTCACTCCCACTTTTCTGCTTACTGAAGGGTTTGTATCATTGCACAGCCAAGGAATCCCATCAGAAAGTTATTTGATCTTTTTCCATAATGGCAATCTGCAGCTGTCTCACTCATCGCTGCCAAGCAATGATGTGATTTCAGCTTTGAACGGCCTTTGCTGCTTTCTCCTTCATCTAAAAGCACCATTTGGGAGTCTCTCTGCAAAAGTATTCACTTTTTTTTTTTAACATAACTACTGATTATTATCAGGATAAATGTGGAAGTGAATCGAGGAACAGGCTGTCCATCGGCCAGACACTGGGTATTCTTTTACATCAGGGCAACACAGTGAAAAATGGGTACTAAACCTTGCTGGCTGTGTTCAATTGCATTTTGCCCTCAGTTTGTCAGGGACAACGGGCACAGAGCAGGGGAGAACCAGGCTGGGTGTGGGGATTTTTTCCTGGTGAGACTCATCATTAGTGCAAAAGGAGGAGCAGCACTTTGGGCTCTTGCTCACGTCTCAGTTGCGGGGACAGGCCCCACCGCTGTCAGTGTCCACCACCACCAGTGCCCATCTGTGTGGCTTGGGGTCTGCCTGGAAAGCTCCAATCTCTGCGGAGCTGCTGGGAGCTCCTAGTAACCCATCAGCAGAGTAAGGAACAGCCCGGTACCAAGGCCAGGCAGAGGCAGGGAGTGTTCAGGAGCAAACTGCCAAAACCTGTGGATTGAGACGTGTGCTGACAGCATGGCCAGCAGCAATGCCTGCTCCGTGGAGCCTCCCGCGGCACCGGCTCGGGGCAGGGCCAGGCTTGTGCAGCTATCACTGCTCCCTGCATCCGCACGTAATACCAGAGGCACGTGGGTTTCTGCCCAGAGCTTATTAAAGAGCCTTCTGGAATAATTATCCACATGCTATTTACTGCTTAAAGTGGGAACGTGCATGCCAAAGGCAGGTAAACAGATTATAGCTCTTCAGACTGGGTGCCTAGCTGGAGAAATGACTACCTAGGAACCTGGTTTTCTTTTCTTTGTCTGTTCTCTGCAGCCATTGCCTCCCAAATCTGGGGGCTAAACTGTTTCAGTGACGCACTTCTGAACAGTACTTGCCATTCTGCCCATAGAGGCGACCACCCAGCATCCTTCATCTGGTTTAGATTTACCTTCAGAGAGTCAAAGGGCTATTGCTAAAGCAGCTCAATATACCCACTTGGCTCCTTCTGGCACCTCCAGCCTCCTCAGGGTTACAGGGAATTATTCACTCCTTCCTTAATATAATTTATTATATTAAATTATTAAAATGCTTTGATTGTAGTGCAGTGTTAGTTCAGTGTCATGTTAGCAGCACTGCATGGGCTGGGCTCCTTGAGCTCATTCTAAAAGCCTCCTTTTCAGAGCCCAAGGTCTCAGCTGGGACTCGGTTGCTCTCGTACACAGTTAGGCATTATGTGGAAACAGGGGGGAGCAAAGGGGAAGCCACCACCTTTCTCCTACACTGAGTTTTAAAGTCTTTCCCCCTCCCTGCTCAGCCTGGCATCACTCCCCACCACTTTTCCCTTGCTTTAGGTCAGGATGTGTCTCAGGAGAGGGCGTGAGCACACTTTGAGGTGCACCTCAAGGGTACCTCTGCCCTGGTGCTGCAGATGCGAGAGAGCCCAGGGCACCCATGGGTCTTCACTAGCCCCAGGCCGGGAAGTCCTACAACACCCTCTGTGCGCACCCTTGGGCAACCACGGGAGCAGAAAAAACACTTCATGGGCACCAGGAGGAGCAAACCATCCTCTGCTGCTCCTCAGTTCACAAACGTTCACCAGCTCAGCCTGCAGATGAAGGCATCGGATTGTTTCAGTCCCCTGGGAGTGAAAGTACCAGCTCAGGAGACCAAACTACAATCCCGACAGGTATTGTTTAGAAACTGGGTCTTCACATCAGCTCCTGATACAAGAACTTTAACTCATGGTAACCGTGTCCTCAGGCTCAGCAAACACTGAATTCAAGTGCAGAGACTGATTTACTGATTTACAGCACAAAGGAGCTGCCGTTGGCCTCCCTCAGGACACGGCTGCCTGATGCTTGCTGGGTGCCTGCTGCCACAGAGGGCAACTGTTCTTTCCTCAGCTTGGGGAAACCAAACATCCTAATAAAACATATCCATTTTAGAGGTCTAGGTTATATTTTGTACAGAGCAGGGGAGAAAATGCCTGCAGTGCTCTTGGGTACGGAGTCAATGCAATGTTTATGCAAAAGGAAAAGCCATTAGACATCACAGAAATGAGAAGCCTGCAGTTTCTGGCTTCCCTCATTTTTCAATACCTCCTTTAATCCAGAGCAACTCAACCCACAAGCCCTCGTATATGCATGGGTATTTATAAATCCTGTATTTCCCTCACTGCGCACACAAGTGAAATTCAGCCTTTTCTGGGCTTGGGGGATTTATCGACCACACCAACAGCAAACACCAGCAGAGACCAGGAAGCACAAAATCGCTGAGGTGCTGAGCTCTGCAGGGGACAGGGGGCCAGCTGGGGTGGTCACCCTGGGCATGCTCCCACTGCCCTGCTCCTGTCCCAGCACCAAACACCCAATTTGGATGGCACAGTATTGCCTTGTCTGCTAGAAAACACTGATGATGTGGGTTCAAATTTACTGGAGTCTCCTTTCTCTCTTCCTCATGTAGCCATTGGTGTTAATGCAAAGAGGAAGGGAAAACTCAGCCGTGTAAAGCACTAAAGGTGGTTCCTACCACCACTAGACCGATCTAAGTGCTGAGATGTGCAGGGCTGGGAAGGTCTATTCCTGGCTGTCTAAGAAGTTTCTGCTGCTGATCTCCATCACTACAGAGCCCATCACTTGACCTGCTTGCTGGGATCTCAACCCGAAGCTCTGCAGCTCTGGGAGCTGTGGTTCAAAACCCACATCCCGACACTGCAGCCACTACCTGAGAGGCTCCCAAAGTCCCAGGGCATTGGAGGTCAAATGGATATTAAGCTTAGACTCGTTTTTTGCTGGAGCTGGTAAGTTTGTGAGACTCCTGGGTGCATTCCCACAGGAGGGAAAGAGGAAAGGGGAAAAAAAAAGGAAAAGAAAATAAAGATAAACGAGAATAAAGAAAAAATAAAGGAAAACGAAAATAAAGGAAAGAAGAAGAAAAAATGAAAATAGAAGGAAACAAAAAAAAAAAAAAAAGAAGATAAAAAAAAAAAAATTAAAGGAAAAAGAAAAAGTAGAAAATGAAGGAGGAAGGGAAGAAACGATAAAGGCAGTAACCGGCGCTCTCGCTGCCCGCTGAGCTCCCGCCGTACGGGCTGGCATTAACCCGTCCGTGCTCAGCGCCCTGCCGCTCCTGCCGCGCAGCTCCTCCGCTCTCCGCTTCCACCTGCGCGCAGCTCCGCTCCCCGCGGGCCCCCCCCGCCGGGGCAGGCGGATGAACAGACACCCCCCCCCCCCTCCAACCACCTCCCCAGCGCAGCCCCGGGGCCCGCCCCCCCCGCCCCGTTAAATGCCGCGCGGGGCCCCGCCGCCTCCCACCGCTGCTGCCGCCGCGCCCCGAACCGCGCAGCTCCGCGCCCCGCTCCGCGCCCGCCGTACCTGAGCCAGCAGCGCGGCGGGGAGCGGCTCCGCGGCCGGCACGGGTGAGTGAGGGGCTCCGCCGGCCCTGCGGGGAGGGAAGGAGAGAGGAGAGGAAGAGGAGGGTGAGCGTGCGGGTGGCTCCGACCCGGTGCGCAGCGCCAAGCACCGCCGCGGGGGTTGGTCCCTCTGCGGGTACTTGTCCGTGGAGCGGGGCTGGTGGTCCTGGGCGTGAAGAGCAGCGAGCAAAGCTGGGGGGGGGGGAAGCAGAGCCTTTGACATAGTTTTTTACCCCCCCCCCGAGCTCCTGTTGTTGTGACCCTGTGCCACTGAGCCCAAATGGACGTCTCGGTGGGCAGCAGGAGATCCTGGTACCCGGCTCTGACCATACCCCTCTCTGATCATATCCTGCTCTGAGCCGGGGGCCGGTGCGGAGGATGTAAACTCTTCTCCGCTGTCTCTCTGCTCTGCTCACCTTTTGCCTAGCTGGCGGGCAGGTTCCTGCTTATACAACCGAGGATCTCTTTTAGCAGAGAATAATAAGGTCTGGTACACCTGGGCAAGGCGAACTGAGCCATAGATGAGATCCTGCAGCAAGATAAGCTTGAAAGAGTGCCCTCAGTTTGCTGTGCGCTGTTTCTGCACGACTGGAAAATTGGGGCTGTGCATACTCATAAATATGTTTGCACAAGCAATCACCCACCTTTGCCTTGTAATTCCAACCATCTCCCAGGGAAAAATTAGCTTTGGGCACTTTTGTTCCGAGCAATTACATGGGAAAACTTGTCTGGAAAATCAGATTATTCTGCACTCATCGTATTTGTGCTCGCACGCAGCCGTCCGAGATAAACGGAGCAGAGCGGACACATGATGAGGTCCCTGTGGGACCCTCTGTAGCATCTCTTGATAGTAAAGATTTGATAGTAAATTGCTCCAAGAACAGGAGCAATTAATCACAGGCAGTGAGCGTGCAGGCCCTCAGTAACAAGTAGAAACTGCTTTTCACAAGCAGATTCTTGTGATCTCTGCAAGGATTCATTAGATCGGCATTTGATATCGGCAAAAAGTGTGCGCGGGGGGAAATCTGCTCTCAGATCTGAGCCCTGATATTTGCCACCAGGATGTGGATAAATTGGGCCTCATCTGAAATACAGATTCCCATTGGAAAGTGTGCAAGAGTTCTTGGTGTTTGTAAGTAAACCAGCACTTTCCATTGAAGCAGGCAGGGAATTGCTGCATCCCACTGGGAAAAAAGCTGTTGTTGATTTTTTGGGGGAAAGTTGTAATTTCATTATTTCTTGAAGAATTAAAGAAATTCTACTTGATTGGTACAAGCTGGGCCCGGGAGCTACCCTTGCTGGCTATAGTAGTAAACAGAAGACGTAGCCAACAAGGCAGCCCGCTGTAGGCGCTCTGTGGTCACAGAAGATGTTTGTGCTCCCATTGCTCATACCATAGCATTTCCCTTGAGGTTGGCATTAGGGGTTAAAGGTTTTCAAGAGAAGCCTTTGTTTAAACATCTTTAAAGTTTCCAATAGGGGCCCCTTTGTTCACTGCGGAGCCCTGTGCCTGCCGTGCTCATAAAATGCCATTTACAAATGCTCCATGAATAGCGCTGAAACACGGAGGGGGAAATAAGTAGTGTTAGAAGTAGTGTTTGCATCTGCATGCACACGGGGATTGCAGACAAGCTGTGAGTGAAGAAAAGGGACCTAGAAAAAACACAGGGAGACCCCCCCCAAAATTGACTGGTGCTTATAAAGAAACTCATAAAACCCAGCTACTGCCCCAGACCAGTCAGTCCCTCCTGTGCCACATGTCCCACGCATCTCCTCCAGCCATGCCAGGAGCTGGAGCAGTTCCTGCCACTTGTCATTACCTCTCAGTAACTGTGTTTGCTCCACTTCGGGCCCAAACAGAAGCAAATTGATCACTTGGGCTCCACTGGGAGGGAGCTCACACAGCTGCCATAAGGGCTCCATTGAGCAGCCTGGTGCAGAGATGTGGACTTTACGCTTTCTGTTGCCTCCTGCAGACTAGCAGGGGTCACCCCTCAGTAGATAAGTGCAGCACAGATCTCCATTTAGATATCGAGTAACCTTGTTAGCACTTAGGAGCCTTTAGTTCCCTTTCCTGTCCTGGCTAAATATAAAGAGTTTAAAACCAGCCCTGTTAAAGCAGGAGAGGGTGTTGGCATGTGCTCAGAAGACTCCAGAGGCTGATGCATGGCTATGGCAGTGTTTCCATGTGGGATGCCCCCAGGCTGCAGTGCTTGATCCCGTGTCTGGAAGCTTTTCTGGTTCTCAGGCAGCTTGTCCTTCCTGGTGTTCATTACTGGAGGCTGGATCTGTCTTCCCTAGGAACTTTCTGCCCTTGCCTGCATCTTTGTCTGCAAACATCTGATCTCTTACCTTGCAAGCCCTTAGTTGTACACATAAATCCATCGCTAACCTGGTCCCTCTGATGCCTATCAAGGAAATCTGTTGGGATCAGCTGTGGCCTCTTGCAGAGAGGTGTCAGTAACACAGTTCCTTTCCAGACTTCGGCCTTCCTGTGTCTGGGCTGTGTCATGCTGCTTCACTGGTTGGTTGCCAGCATACAAGTTCAGGAGCCTTAGTCTGCGGACCCGTAGGAGTCCATGGTCTATAGCAGGAATCGGTAGGAGTGTATCTGTTAACAGCAGAGGTCCTCAGCCACGGCCACAAATGCTGCTTTAAGTCCCCTTGGAAGTCTTGCAGGAGGGTTCCATGCAGTGTCTGAGCATGCTGACAAGGCCAGGCTGACACACAGATGCCAAGGCACAAAGGTCCCCAAGGCACCAGCTCTTCAGCATAGGTGGAAGCGAGACCACAGCCCATTGCACTGCTGGTGGAAGTTCTGTGGTGCATCTCCTATGGGGTGACAGCATTCCAGCCCTGTGACAGCGGTTCTCTGGCTGTCCCACTGTCAGAGGGATGTGGCAGCAGTGAAGTTAGGTGGGAGCAGTTTCCCATGCTGCTTCTGTGGTTCTCCCTGTGAAAAGTATCGAGCCAAAGAATTCAACCAGCTTGCTTTTCTGTCTTGAGGAGGGCAGAAAAGTCTCCGCGTGCTTTTCTGCAGCCACCAGATGCTTCTCACTTTCTGCTATTTCAATTGAACACACAGCAGGATGGGTAGGATAAAAGGGAGAGGCACAAGAATATTCTGCTGGTGTGTTTTCTTATGCCAACACATTGAGTCACGTCTCCAGAGTGAGAAATATGATATAAAGATTCAGAGAAGGAGGTCAGGCAATGAACCTATGGTTGCGAGGCTGAAATAGCAGGCGTTCTGTGGTTGTCTGTGCCATGTAAGCTTGCCGGAGGTCAGCTGGGGATAGTGGTCCCAGTGGATTTGGGAAATGGACATCCTGCTGGTAAGTATCAATCTTACTGCTTAGAGGTACCAGCTTTGCTGCATCAGGAGCTCAGCTGACAAACTGCACCAGCCCAGGAGCTGCTCTGGGCCGTTTCTCTTTCCTTTGTGGTTGAATATGCATATTTCTAGGGAAAAAAAACCAAACTCTCTAACACCTTCCTCCCAGAGCAAGAACTTGGGCAATGGAATGCTGCCTCAGCTGTTGGATGGCCCGGACCTCATTCCCTCCAGAGTCTGAAGTCTCTTGGCCCTGTTCAGCTGTGCTCCTGGGGCCTGTTTGCAGGAAAACATTTGCTTTTTGAAGGGAGTCAGTAAAGGTGGGTCTTTCCCCTGCTGACCACTCTTCATCAACATCTCAGTATCCAGTATCCCTCCAGTTTTACTTAAGATACCAGTTAGGAGCAGGGTTAGTTTGCGCATCATGCAGCTCAGGATATGTGCAGCCAAAGGACAGAGAGGAATAGGGAAATGCCACTGGCAGTTCTGAAACAGAAGGCGTCTCTTGACATGAGTTGCACAAGGGGAACTGGGTGACTATACATGTGCTTCAAAAGGCCATGTTTAATTTGCAAATGAATATGGCATTTATTCTTGCCAGCTGTGGCTGCAGCAGCTCAGGTACAGTGTGTTTCAGTGCAGAGGGTGGCTGGGTAAGAGGCTTTCCTCCTGGCTGAGATGCAGAGCATTGAGAGGTCTTTTGCAGACAGACTGATGGCAGAGAAGGACCCCATGTGCTGTCGTGAACAATACCTAGAGCTCTGTCCATTGGCACACCCAACATTTCTTCCCCAAGGGGACTTCAGATGTCATCTCATAGTATAAGCCACTCAGAACCTGTATGATGTTAGGTCCATGAGCTGTGAGACAAACGTCTGTCACTTAGCCTGCAAATAGACCTGGGCAAGAAACCTCTCTTCCTCCTGCTCTCCCTGTGAACGTGCTAATCCTAGTGAGTGCAGGAGTGGGGCCCATAGAACAGGGAATTGGCTTTTGGAGGGGGGCAAAGAGAGAGAAAGAGTAGTCCCTTCTGCATCCAGCAAGGTTTTCCTGTTACAGCACTCCTGCCGATTCACTCCTGTTGGGTTTGGAGCCACGATGAGCTGTTTGACAAATACAACCTTGGTTTTCAAACAACGTGGCCTTCCAGGTGGCACTTGGCCCAGCAAAGCTGCTGTAGCGTTGTAACCAGAGAGTACTGCAATGTCCTGGAAAGAGTCTGCTCTTGTTCTCCCACACGTGTGTTTGGGGAGAACCAAGGACACACCAGTCCTTAAAATGGGGGAGAAAAACCTTTTGGGCTGGAAATCCAGGCCATTTCCCTGGTTTTGGAGTGCTTGTGCTCCCTGCCTCTTCCTTGCTCTGAAAACTGCCCTGCTGTCGTTGCTCTCATGGGATTTGCAGCTCGTGGAGGATGAGCACTGAGATGATGGAGCTGTGACTGGGTGCAAGGTCAGCGCTGTCTGTAAGGTGGCACAGAATCCATCTCATAAGCACTGCTGAGAGCCATAAACCTGCAGGCAGGGGGCACCTTGAGATTGTGGATTGTGCTGAAAGAAACCAACCTTAGGGTAACCCTCCAGGAGAGGGTGGATCCAGCTCTGGGGCTGTCGCGGGCCTCAGCTTGAGGGCCATGCAAATATATGGACAATGTGCCAGCAGCCATAGGGGCTTCCACAGCAAAATCAGGTATCGGGAAGTGCCTCCAGGTTGATGTAAGTTGTTTGCATCTCTCCAAGTACCTCTGGTTGCTTCATTGTCCCCTGTGCCTGGGGCAAGACATGTTCCTGTCTTCCTCCCTTGGTTCTCCATGCACTTTTGGGGCAGCCTCTCTCTTGGGCATGGATTTGAATGATGATTTGTTCAGCTGAGGGCATTAAAATTTGCCTCCCTATTGTTCAGCCTGAGGCCAGCTCTTGCTGTCTTTCTGCTGTTGTCCTGGCAGGATTCTGGTGTCCTAAACACAAGAAGTCTGTGTCCAGGCTTCTGAGCCAATCTGTGGCTTTTATCAGATAATACTGATGAGTGAGTTGAATTATGCCCTGCCAAAAATGTCTGGTTAGGTCTGCACATAGAAAAGCCCTGCAGAGCAAAACAGGGTACATGGAAAGGTGAGGTGGGTGAGCCTCAGGAGCATCACGTCTAGGGCTGCTCTGCCATCAGCCAGGGTTTCCAGCACAGGAATACATGTTACTAGCTGGTAGCAGAGGTGGCATCAGTGCCATGCACCCCTGCCATGCATGCTCAGGCTCGCTGTGCATGCCTCCTCCCATGCACGGGCATGCTGCATGGACAGCCCTCTGGCTTTGGCATGTTGGGTAACAGTGTGCTTGGTCAGAGGCTCCTGACTGTTCCCCACTCCTTTCAATGCATGGTGATCCCTTGTCCTGCTTCTCACCGGATCTGGAGCCAGGACAGAGCTGCTGCTGCTGCTCCCACAGTGTGCCACATGTCTGCCAAGGCCAGGCAGGACCTGTGCCTGGAGTTGTGTGGGTTTTGCCATAAACAGAAGTCACAGCTAAAGGCTGATGTGCCCAAATAGAAGAAATCTTGTACCTGATGCCTGGCTCATGACTCCATAGCTGTGGCCCACAACCTGCTTTACTCCTAATGACACAATGGCTGGGGCTTTTCCTGGGCTGTGAATGCACTGCCACCTCCTGAGCCTTTCACTCCTCTCCCCATCTGCTTCACCCCCTCTACAATTCGATCTATAGATCTCCCACCCCTGTAACCCTGTCAGGAGGGTAGGGAGATGCTCCCTGCCATGCCCTGTCCTTTGGGCTTGCCCCGGGGAGGATGCACCCGGTCCAACCTGTGTGGATGAACCAGAAGGGGAATATTGGGAGCGTTTCTGTTAACCTGTAGCCAGGAGGGAGCTGCCAAGGAGGCCACGCTGAAACCCGAAGCGGCTGTTTTTCCCCAGACTCAGCACTTGGCAGGGAGAGCAGACGGACAAGTGACGGAGCAGGGAGGGATGCAAGCACCATGGGGACGGCACTGCTGGTGGAGGTGCCCTGGGAAGGGTCCTGGGGAAGGCATTGCTGGCTTACCTGTTTGCATCTGGGGATTCGTCTCCATGTCCTCCTTATCCGAGATCAGGAGGAGAGTCAAGAGCAGGCTGGGGTCATTGCTGACCCTTTGTGTGGCTCTTCCCTCAGTCACCCTCTTTGCAGCATGAACTGAGCATCTCCTTCAGCAGGGACAAGCAATGGCTGGTATTCCCCTTGCGTTGCTCAGAAAGGTCAGGAGTTGATCCAAGTGTCCCTCTCAGCTTGGGTTCGGCTGAGCCAGCCCTGCTGGGGCAGTGCTTGCCCCGCCTGGACCTTTTCTCCTTTATAGCTCGGTGTTATCTCAAGGTCTCTGGTGCTGCAGCCGTGCTGTGTTTGCCTTGCTTGCAGCACCTGCCCGCCAGCCGGTCGCTTCCCACCCATCTCCCTCCCACTCCTGCGTGGTAGCAGGAGGCTCCTGGGGGAAGTGTGGGAGCCCCTCCATGGGGATACAAGCGCAGGGGGAGTGAGGACAGTGGGTACCAGGGACAGTGTCTGGTGCAGAATGGTGGGAGAGATGCTTGGGGGCATCTGTCCCATTGCTTTTGCTTCCCCATCAGCTTTGCTGTTGGGGCAGGGCTGGGTGTTATATTCAACTGGGGACCAGGGTGCTGTTCCAGCCTGGGTCTCTGCTGCCAGGACTGGCGCTGAATGCATGGCTGAGCTGCCCTGCCCTGTCCCGGCAGCATCAGCCCCTCCAGCCTTGAGGAGTGCCAAGACTTCATCCAAAGCTGAGATGCTGTTAAAAATAGATCAGTCTTGAACTGGTTTTCTCCTTGGTTTCTGGCCCAAAACCTCATTCCTGTCTCTGGCTGGCTTTGAAGCTATCTGGATGCTACGAGATGCAGGCTCAATACCAGCCTGCCACTGCAGGGAGGCTTGGAGAGCAGAGCGCTGTAGAAGTGTTATAGGTGGCATAGCTTTCCCCAGAATATTTAGCGGTTAGGGAGTGCTTTCTGCCCCAAAAAACTGCTAGGAAAAGAATCTGCTAAATAGGGAAACAAAGCTGGGATAGGAGGGGTTGTTTGCTCCTCTGCTTGCACATGGTGCTCTTGTGGGGGTGCAGACACCCAGGCACTCCTGCCCACAAAGCCCTGTGGCTTCCTAGGAAATGCCTGTTGGGCTGCAGCCTCCCTTCATCTCCAGAACCCAGAGTGATCCCATGGGGGTGATCCTACCAGAGTGATCCCACTGGTCTCTCCATTGATAGTCCTGCAGGAGCCACCACGTCCCGAGCTGGGTGCTCACGCTCCCTGGGAAAAGGCTGAGTCTCTCCCTTTGAGGCTTCTGGATCCCCCTTTCCTCCTGTAGCCCTTTTCTGTCCTAATTCCTCAGTGTCATTTTCCAGGTGTGAACGCTGAGGCTGGAGACAATATTAAGATGCAGCTGTGAAACCCATTATCCATGTCCCTGCTATCAAATACATGAGGTTCAGGGCTGCACGTAACCAGGGAGCAATTAAATGGCAACCCTGGTGATGAATTACAACTGGGGCCTCCTGGGGCTAAGGGAACACAGCTGATAACTACCGATAAAATGAATTTCCGTGTGCTTTTTCTTTTCTAAAAGCACCCTTCTAGTACCTGTGTCGAGTCGTGGTGCTGCTGTATCCCAGGGGAGCTGCATTCCCTGTGGCATTTCCACCCCCCAACTCCTTGGGTTTCCAACCAGGGCTGGATAAAAGTGATGAAAATAAACCAACTAAACCCATGTCCCTGCAGGAGCTGGGCAAGGGCAGGGAAAGGCACCACAGAGGTGGGCAGGGAGGGAGACAAGTGACAAACCGGGGTTTTGGGTAACTGATTTAAGCATCTTTTCCTTCAACTATCCCACCTCAGACACTGTTGGGGTGCAGAGCATCCCTCAGAAAAGCCAGTGGGATGCGGAGAGCTGCAAAACATTGGTGACAGTGGTGGGGTCCCCTGAGGTGATGTGAAGGAGAGTGGCAATGCTTCACCCAGCACCCAGCACCCTGCCTGGGGGGGAATGGGTGCAAGCCCATCTGCACAGGCACCATTACACCCAGTGCGTGCGGAGGCTTCTGCTCTCCAGAGGCAGGTTGGAAAAGGCAGAGAACGGATTTATGGAGCTGCCTGGAAAAATGATCCTTGCCAGTGACTCTGAGCCACTGCTGAGCAGGTTTTGTCTGTGCTGGTGTTTCCTCTGGGGGCTTCTCTTCCTGTGCAAAGGGAGCTTCAGGAGGTGCTCTGCATCCCTGGGTGCTGCTTTCCCACTCTCCGGCTGGCTGCGGAGAGCAGCCGCTCCGCCACTGAAGAAGTATTTGGCTGCACATCCCATCCGCCTGGTTTGCGAGTGAAAATAAGGCTTGGCCAGCTCCACCCAGAGCACAAAATCAGACCCCGTGGCAGACTGCCGCTGCTGTAATGAGATTTAACTGCGCTGAGACTGCCAGTCCTTAAATGGGAAAAGTCCCACGTGGGTCCAGAGACGTTTGGGGATGGATCTGTCAAAACTGCTCTTGCAGAGGGGTTTTGGCACCGCCTGGGGACACCCACCGCAGGTGACTGTCACCCTGTGGCTTGGCCCACCCTCAGCACTCATTGCACATTGCCTTCTCCCCGCAGCGTGTGGTCTCAGAGCCATGATGAAGCTTCTGCCCATCGCCCCGCTCCTCCTGCTTCTCCTGACGATGCTGGAAGCCAGACCAAAACCTGCAGGTGAGCCCTGGCCAGTGGGGAGTGCCTGGAGGAGAGAGAAGCACAGTGAAGCCCTTGCTGCTTGAGGTGGGGGGGACTCGATGCCTTTTCTTTAGGGGCATCCCCATCAGGATGGAGGATCTGCCTAGGCGTGGGACCCGAAATTCCCAGCGGTGTCCAGGGGAGCAGGAGCTTGAGCCTGGCCCAGCACCAGACCCAGTCAATTCCAGTCAATTCCAAGTCAATTCCAGTTTAGAAACAGTGAAGGCACCAAATGGAGAAAGGAGCGGGTATGTCTTGGAGACCTTCGGAGCAGTTGAGATGACAGCCCGGGTCTGGGCAGCATCCCAAGGGGACTCAAAGTGTTTGCTTACCGTTAGGGCCAAATTCTCCCAGGCTTGGGTACACACAAGCCAAGCAAAATATGTTCATTGGCATTTCACTTGCTAAGTACTCTCCAAGTTTGCACTGGAAGTAGCACCCGTATGTCCAAGAGAGGCTCTTTGGCTCGGTCCCTGCCATGTGCATGTCCTTAGCTGTGCTTCTCACTGTCTCACTTGCTGCCATTAAAAAATAAAAGACAAATCACCAAAGCAAGCCCTGGTTTTAGGCAGAAACCGGCAAAATGCGGTAAAACCCAGGGATGGCTGGAGCTGTGGGGAGGAACAGAATCGCCCAAAGCAGTGTGTTCCTGCTTGCCACTTGAGCAATTAGGAGCCCATGTGGTGCAGAGGTCTGGGGCAGGGACTGCAGCTTGCAGAGAACAGCACAAGGCACTGGTCTGGTTTACAGTTTAATGCTCTGATCTGCTGCAGAAATGAAGATGCTGCTGCCTAAACCTGTGCTTATTCCTTGCCAGGGTAGATGATGACAGAAGGGTGTTTCTGCAGCTTCTGGGGCTGCTGGCTGTGGAAATGCAGGGAGCAGGAGCTGGCTAAATGGGTGGTACTGGGGAGGAGGGGATGCTGCCATTTCCCCACAGCCAGGGCCTATCTATCTTCCTGCCTGTCATCCCTGCTTCTGCTCTGCCAGCACCCTCACTGAGGTTATTTGACAATAGGGGCTGCACAGATCTGCCCCCTCCATCTTCCACTGAGCACCCCCCAAGCCACCCCACAGGGTTGTCTCTGCTGCCAGCCCTGCTCTCCACAGGCAGTTGTGAGGCTGAACTGTCCCTTTTCCCCCGTCCAGCCCTGAAGTGCAGGACAGGTCCGCTGGACATCGTGTTTGTGATCGACAGCTCCCGCAGCGTGCGCCCCTTCGAGTTCGAGACCATGCGGCGGTTCATGATGGACATCATCAGCAGCCTGGACGTGGGCCCCAACGCCACACGGGTGGGGGTGATCCAGTACTCCAGCCAGGTGCAGAACATCTTCTCCCTCAAGACCTTCTTCACGCGGGCGGACATGGAGAAGGCCATCAACAGCATCGTCCCACTGGCCCAGGGCACCATGACGGGGCTGGCCATCCAGTACGCCATGAACGTGGCCTTCACCACGCAGGAGGGCGCGCGCCCTCTGCACAAGAAGATCCCCCGCATCGCCATCATCGTGACGGATGGACGGCCCCAGGACCGTGTCACCGAGGTGGCCACCCAGGCCCGGAACGCTGGCATTGAGATCTACGCCGTGGGCATCCAGCGGGCAGACATGAACTCGCTGCGCGCCATGGCCTCGCCGCCGCTGGAGGAGCACGTCTTCCTGGTGGAGTCCTTCGAGCTCATCCAGCAGTTTGGGAAGCAGTTCCAGGACAAGCTCTGCGGTGGGTGAGAGCTGTGGCTGCAGGGGTGGGCAAGGGTGCTGCTGGTGCCTGCTCCTCACCTGGGCTAGAAGGTGACCTTCGGAGGGGTGTTTGGGGTGGCTGCCCTTGCTGGGAGCAGTATGGACAGGGAAGCATGGTGCCAGGACACCAAAGGATACCAAAGCAAGGTGGCCTTTCTTCTTGCTCACCTTTCCTGGGGTGACATAAAGAAGGCTTTGAAAGCATTGCAAGTGATTTTCTTCACCCATGCGTGGTAGCTCTGCCCCAAGCCAGCACATCACAGGAACAGTGATGGGAATACTAAAGAGCAGGAAATGTGGAGCTGGTTTCCCCGGGTATGACGGGGATGGATGACACATCCCAGAGCCCTGTGTACATTTTGACGTGGCTCTAACAGGGTCTCCTCCTACACAGACACATGCAAGGCATCTGCTGCATGCACATTGGTGTTTAATAAAGCAGGAGGCTGATTCTCAGCATGGCCGTGCTGATGCTGGTCAGGAGCTTGCAGGCTGGGACCTGTCTGTCTCCTGCCATGCTGGGGTCAGAGACCTGTCACTGCAGCAGGCCAGCAAGACCTTGCTCATGTGCTTCAGCATCTGTTGAAAGGCAGAAGGCAACTGCCAGCCTTTTCCAGGCAGTGTTTTCTAGCGAGGAACACTGTGTGTGCAGGGCTGTGTTAGTGCTGCAGTGAGTCGTGTGCTGGAGCAGGGGCTCCAGGGCTCACCAGATAATGCCTTCCTGGCTGCATGGACACACAGACCTGGCTCCTTCGGTGTGTTCCAGCTGAGCTCAAGCTTTTGCTCACTCAGCTCAAGCTGTCACCAGTATCAGTTAATACTGAGCATTGATGTAGCACTCAGGTAGATCAAAAAGCCAAGGTGGTTCTGAAACCTGCCCCGCACAGTGTCTGTGCACTGGAATTCAGTGGGTGAACACTGGGGCTGTGTGGGTCATCCCAGTGGATTCGGCTGCAGGGACAGGGCACGTGGCAGAGCTGGGGTCCCCATGAATCAGCCCGTGGGCTGCTCTGATGCCTGTTCTGTCTTGCAGGGGTGGACATGTGCATGGGACAGGAGCATGGCTGCCAGCACAGCTGCATCAGCACCCCTGGCTCCTTCTACTGTGAATGCAACCCAGGCTACAGGCTCAACATGGACGGAAAGACCTGTTCCTGTAAAAACCCTTCTTTTGTCCTAACTCTCATAGAGGGCTTGTAGTTACAGGTCTCATGGAGGGAAGCTGAAATGCAGCACAAGACCCAGGGAGGGCAGCAGCAGCCTGGGTGCTCTGTGCACAGAGCCTGCTGCCTCCTGGGTGTGTAATGACCGTGGACACTCAGTAGTGCTAAATCCTGGTCACCTCTCTGGGGTGGCCACTTGGGGCTCGTGTGAGCACAACCTGAGGGGGGTCTGGGCAGGGGGTACCGGAGGATGCACATCCCAGCCACCAGAGTGCACAGTGGTTTAGCCCTGTATGGTGAAGGCAAAGCTGTATTAGCTTGTCTGGTCATCACCCTGGGACTTTTCCTTGTCTCATGGTGCTGGGAGCTGCTGTGAAGCCCTGGAGCAGGGAGGCTGGGGCAGGAGGGTGACGGTGTCCTGCTCCCTGCAGTCATCGATGCGTGTGCAGACGGGAGACACGGCTGTCAACACCAGTGCGTCAGCGTCCGTGGGTCGTACACGTGCCACTGCCGTGCGGGTTACTACCTCCACCAGAACAAGAAGAGCTGCACCAGTACGTGGCCACCTCCCTTCCTGTCCCTTCCTCGTTTGCTTCTCGCTCTCCCTCTCCTTCTCTTGTCTTTCCCTCCCTGCCCACCCCTCTCCTTCTCTCACCAGTGATCGATTACTGCAGCTTCGGAAACCACAGCTGCCAGCACGAGTGTGTGAGCATCCCCAACGGGCACTACTGTCGCTGCCGCAGCGGGTTCACGCTGCAGCCCGACAGCAGGTCCTGCAGAGGTACGGCCCGGTGCGGCACAGCCTGCAGTGTATGGCAGATACCCTTATGTCCTGCTCAATCCCTAGGGAAAGGGCTGTTCCTGGACCTGAATGGGGATAACCCTGTGCCCTTGGCTTGTCTTCCAGCCACTGACCTCTGCAATGGGGTGGATCATGGCTGCGAGTTCAAGTGTGTGAGCACGGAGGGCTCCTACCGCTGCGTGTGCCCTGAGGGCCAGCAGCTCCAGGCTGATGGCAAGGCGTGCAGCAGTAAGTACTGGGATGAGACTCTTGGCATCCTCCTCGTCTGGGCTCTGTGCTCCTGGAGAGGGCTCACTGGAACTGAGCTGGGGATCTAAGTGGGAGTTTGAACTGGGTTGGGAAAGGATGGAGAGCTGGCTGAATGTGGGGAGCGCCCTGCCTGCTGCAGGGATGGATATGGGCTTGTGTCCGCAGAGACATGGCTCAGAAGATACAACAGGAGCTTTGAGGAAAAGGGAGACCTAGGAAAGACTTTTAGGGGATGCTGGGGGGGCAGTGGAGGTTCTGGGGCTGAGACCCCTGGGTATGCTTTGCCCTGATTCCCAGCCTCATGTGGGCTGCAGTTCCAGGGGGGCCACACAGTGTCCTGAAGCCCAGTCCTAGCTCTGGGCACCTCCACCCTGACGGTGCCCATGGCCAGGCTTGTCCCTTCTCACCTGACCCCTGTGCCCCCAGAGTGTGGGTCTGGACATGTCGACCTGGTGATGGTGATTGATGGTTCCAAGAGTGTCCGGCCCCAGAACTTTGAGCTGGTGAAGCAGTTTGTGAACCGCATCGTGGACCTGCTGGAGGTGTCCCCGCACGGCACGCGCGTGGGGCTGGTGCAGTACTCCAGCCGCGTCCGCACCGAGTTCCCCCTCAACAAGTACCACAGCGCGGATGAGATCAAGAAGGCGGTGATGGAGGTGGAGTACATGGAGAAAGGCACCATGACGGGCCTTGCCCTCAAGCACATGGTGGAGCACAGCTTCTCCGAGCTGGAAGGTGCCAGGCCTCTCTCCCACAACATCCCCAGAATCGGGCTCGTCTTCACAGATGGGCGCTCCCAGGATGACATCTCTGAATGGGCCAGGAGAGCGAAGGAGTCAGGTACGAGGTGCTGGGGAGCCCCAAACCGCAGTGCTTTGGGCACCACAGGATGGTTCCTCAGGGAGCTGGGCTCTGAGGGAGGCTGCAGCATCCAGCCTTGGGGTGCTACATCACCCGGGTCTGCAGGAGCAGCAGTGCCTCTGCCATGGTTCAGGCTGCTCTGATCAGCATCCTTCATGCAGCAACTGCACCACAGCAGTGCTGCTGTTTCCTGCCTAAATTCCTCGTGTATTTGAGAAGCCCAGTGTAAATCCTGCATCCTTGGCTTTGCTTTGGGCTGCTGGATGTGGGGTGGCCAGCGCAGTGCTCAGCATCCATCCTTGCCATGCAGGGATCGTTATGTTTGCTGTGGGTGTTGGTAAGGCTGTGGAAGAGGAGCTGAGAGCAATCGCCTCTGAGCCCGTGGAACAACACTTCTCCTACTCAGCAGACTTCACCACCATGACCCACCTCGTGGAGAACTTCAAGCTGAACATCTGCCCAGGTGGGTGCCCTGGGGGGCACAGCTCCGAGTCGGGGGAGCCCTCCTCTCCCCACAGAGCCAGTGGGGTGCTTTCTGTGTCTGTCACCCTGCGTCGTGTACCCCAGCACTGGGCTGGGGTGAGTCCAGGCTGCCCCTGGCTCTCACGGTGATGCCTGAGTGGCGGGGATGCAGTCTGGCAAAAAGGAGTGAGGCTGGGAACAGGGGGAAATGGGGGAGAGGAGCCCCAAGGCTCAGGTCCTGCCCTAGGGAGTGGCTGTAGGAACAAGGGACTGGAGCTGTGCGGGAGCAGGGGAGAGCTGGGCACCACGAGGCTGCAGCTCTGACTGCACCCAAACCCCCATGGTCACAGAGGAAGGCAAAGGGGAGACCGAGATCCGCAGCCCCTGCGAGTGCGAGGCGCTGGTGCAGTTCCAGACGAACACCGTGGCCATCCTGCAGAGCCTGACCGAGAAAAATATCCTTTGGGGTGATGCTTTGAGGCCTTGGGTGATATGGTTTAGAGTGAGGTGTCCCTGCCCATGGCAGGGGGTTGGAACTGGATGATCTTAAGGTCCTTTCCAACCCGAACTATTCTATGATTCTATGCCTGGGCTTGCCGGGATGCAGGGCAGCCCAGGGACAGACTGCACATGGGGAGGGATGGATAAATGGGAACAGGGAAAATGTTGGGGTCCCCCAAGGGGACTGTCTGGCTCACACTGTTTCCTTAGCACGTTCACTTGCTCAGATGACAGCCAGACTTGAAGACTTGGAAAAGCAGATTGCCAAGAAGAAGTGATCCTTACAGAGGGCTGCAGCGCTCGTACGGGGCACGGGGATGAACAGTAGCTACGTGGCATTGTTATTGCTAGGTTATTGTAAAGCATCAGTGTTTGTTCTTGTATCACAAAACCCCCGGAGGGATGTGGAGAGTATTTAAAAACCCCAAAATCCTAAAAACAAAACCCAAACCAAAAAAAAAGGACTTGAGCAAGAGCCCCTGCAGTGGGTTCAGCCATAGTCGGTGCCTCACTCCTCTGAGCTGGTAGCTGTGGGATGAGGTGGGGTGATTGTATGGGCAGGCTGGGCTTTGGATGAGGGTTTAGATTGGATATTAGGGACAATTTCTTTACTGGGAGGGTGCCCAGGGCAGGGCTGGAGTCACCATCCCTGCAAGTGGTCACAAACCGTGTAGATGAGGCCCTCAGTGCCATGGGTTAGTGGTGGCCTTGGCAGTGCTGGGGAATGGTTGGACCAACCCAGCTGATTCTATGATTCTACATTGAAACCCGGCCTTTTCCCAGAGCAACGGGGATGAACCAGCCCCTGCACAGTCCCCAGCACCCAGCTCCACAAGAGAAACCCCTCCAGTGATGGTACCCTGGGAGCCACCAAGTGCTGGGGCCAGGATAGCTGCAGGCAGTGCGCAGGGATGGATGCAGACCAGCCAGCTCCCACATGGCACCCGGGTGTGCACCCATGGGGAAGCAGGCAGCAGGAATCAAGCAGATCCCCTTGTCCCTGTTCTGGCAGAATTGTCTGGGAATTGGTTGTTACCCTGTTTGGGTTTTTTAGTGACATAGCAAAATGGTGATAATTCTTTCCATAACTATCCATGTGTGTATATATATTTCATTCTGAGAGCGGGGTAGTGCTGATTTTAAACACTTATATCAAGAAATTCCTAAACACTTCTTTTATATAAAGAAATCTCTATCCTGACAATAAACACCCTCAAGATTTGTATGACCTGTTCCTCTCGGCTGGGCTGCGGGGCCGCAGAGGCATCTCTGCATCAGCAGAAACGATGCAGAGGACAGAGCCCTGTCCTCAGGCTTCGAGGAGCTGGTACTACGAGGTGAAGAGGACCTTTTCCCACATGCAATTGAAAGCAGTGGTTCCCCAGGTCAGCCTGGGATTTGATGGCTTGTGAGGAGAGCTCCTGGGGCATTTGTAGCCTTATTATATCTGTTTACTGGGCTGGCAAATGAAGCAGTGCTGATTAGCAACCCCACAGCCCTCCTGTCAGCCCATATCACACCCATCAGCCCCACATCCTATCATGCACCCCATAACCCCCATCCCTCTCACCCTGCAACCCAGCAGACAAGACGGGGGGGACGGGGTTGGGAAAGTGCTGATGGTCACAACCCACATCCGAGCCACATCCTATTGCTACAGAGTGCAGGGACCGATCTGCAGGGATCCCAAATCTGCAGTCCCAAATCTGGGACTTCCCTGGTGTATGCAGCTCCCTAAAACAGACAGTAACTGCAGGGAAAGGAAGCAATTAGCTGAATCTGGGACTTAGTAACAGGCTTGATTAAAGCAGATAATGGCACTCCCTAAGGGCATGAGTAAGCCTCAGCTGGCCCAGTGTGATTTTGGCAAATACAAGAGGAAGTTGTAGAAAAGTAGTGCTGGGCTGGCAGCGAGATGGAGAGGCTGGATGACGGCTGGCAGCTTGGATGGGAGAAGGGAGAGGGGAGAAGGAGCAGCAGAAGCCAGGCATCCACTGGGGTGGGATATGTGGGATCGCATTTGGGAGCAGAGCCTCATTAATGGCTTTTCACTAGATGGCACCAAACACCAGCGTTAATGAGGGTCCCCTGAGCTGGGGGCACCCCCTTCTAGTGAGCACCCCGAGGTGGTGGATGCGGCTTGGGGACAAGTGGAGCATCCTCAGCCATGGGCTTGGGGATGAACGGATGGATGGACAGACAGAGGGATCTCAGTGTAAGGCTGAGCACATTACATCACCTGGTAGGGGACAAGGGCTGCTTTAGAGGGAACAAGCTGTTCCTCATGTGCTTTGTGCACCCTAAGGCTGGGGCTTAGTCATGGCCAAGCCCTGAGCTAGGTGACTGCTGGTCCATCCGTACCATCCCATGGATACAGGGACTGAAGAGCCCTGGCCTGGCTGGGAGCATCATCCAGCAGCACCCCTGGCACTGCACGGCTCAGGCCTTGCTGCCTCAGGAGAAGGCTCTGGAAGTGCTTTCCATGGAGGAGATGAGCAGTGTGGGATGGGGATGGCTCTGGAGGCCCTTGGGGCAACGGGTTCTGCACACGTGACAGAGTATAACACATGGGCTACAGGTGGTCCTGTGCATAGAAATACCATGATCTGGCTTATTCTGTGGGGGGTTGCAATGGAAGCATGGTTCTGACTTTCCGCACTATGAACTTCCTATGGATAAAGCACAGTCCTTCAGTCAGATCCCAGCAACCAGCTGCAGGCCAGAGAATCACTTAAAAATCATCCAATGCTTATATTTCTCATTAAAAATGCTAAATGGTTGGTGCTCATCTCAAACTCTATTTGGGTTGGCTAAATACCCTCCCAGTTACTCATTAAATGACTTCACAAAGAGCTAGATACAGCCACAAGGTCATGAGGGAAAATGGACAATAATTAACAGAGATCCAGTAAATTAAGGCGAGATGCTCACAGTAACCTGGATGCAGAGCAGGGCTCCAGGGCAATGGCTCAGGGGCTGCATGGAGCAGAGGCTTTCACTGCTCCTTGCCCTGCTTGGTTGCAAAATGAGGGGCTACCCCAGCCTGCCCTTTGTGGAAGCACTGGGGGGGATCTGGCTGCAGGGTGCCTTTCCCTCCCTGGGCATTCCCTGTGCCTTTTCCAGCACAGCTCTGGTTCCCGCTAGCCTCAGAAATCCCAAGCAAAGGTTCCAGGAACTTGTTATTACACAAGGCAAGGGGGGGCATTGGTGGGAAATGGAGTAATTTCCCATTGCCCAAGAGCACCTAAAGAAAACAGCTTTGCCTGGAGGGGAGGTCCAATCTCCTTGGGAGGGAGGAAGAGATGGAGGCCTGAAGGCTGGTGGGATCTTTGCCATCAGAACAAGGACTATAGCCCCTAATCTCTAACAGTCAGCTAGAGCTGGGCTCAGTTCTGCTGTCCTTGTGCTGCATGGGGATTTTTGGCTGATGACAGGGATGTATGGAGCAAATTATCCCACCCTGGTGAGGCCAACCACTTCCTTTCAGCACTAACCTGCTTCCTACATGGCAGCAGCCTCCCAGGGAAGGTTATGAGGTTCAGGTAACCCCCACAGAGCTTGAGAAGAACTCACTCTTGGCTAAGCCAAAGCTGCTTTCCCCACAGTAGCTCTCAGCACCATTAGGGCAGGAACCAGGAGTGTTTGGGGCAGGTTTCCTCCATAAAAACCTCAAAGGATCATCCCTGGGAAGGCACAGGCAGCCCCATGCTGATCTGGATCATGCTGTAAGGTTTGGTTTACAGGTCCACATGGAAGCAAGGTCCCATATAAAGGACCTCCGGGTTGGAATGCAGCATGGTCACCACAATGGTTTCTCCTGGAGAAGCATTCCTGCCCGGGACAAAGCAGCCTCACTGCCTCCAGCCTGCTTGGGACACAATGCCCTGGACAATCCCTCCTTGGCTTGTCCCTCAGCCCCAGGTGTAGCTGCAGGGCACGGTTGTGCAATGCAATAACTGCGTTTTGAGCAACTGGACAACCCCAAGTGTATCTTGTGCAAAAGACCTCCGGAAAACACCATGCAACAGCAGAGGAAAAAGGTACAAACATCAGCACATGCCCAGCCCCATTCCCTGCCCCCCATCCTCCCCAAGGCTTTAAATGCCCATGTCCCCCAGCTCTGCACACTTACACCTCTCAGCGACACAGCAGCATGAAGTCAGTGGCTGCTCTTCTCCTGGTAGGGATGCTCATCCTCTGGACGGAGCTGCCAGCAGGTAGGAGATGTCCTGGATAAGGCACAGAGGGGAGATGCACAGGAGTGGAGAGGGAGCTGTGTGAGCAGGGATCCTGTGGGGTGGGAGAGGAGCTGGGGGGCATCTTCCTGAGGCAGCCTGTGGCCAACACCTCTCTCCTCTTGCAGGCAGCGCCTGGTCCTGCCCGCCCGTCCGCTACCGCTGCATGATGCAAAACCCACCCAACCAGTGCCTCACCAACCGGCAGTGCCCGCCGTACAAGAAGTGCTGCCCCTCCTTCTGTGGCAGGAGATGCATCTCAAACCCATCGTACCCCCCTTTGATCTCCGGTAAGGCCTCAGGAGCTACCCCTCCTGCACCCGCCTCCCCAGGGAGCAGAGTGGGGATACAGTGATGGTGGCTCTGGGCATGGAGCCGTGTGCGGCTGCCAGAGCCCCCCACTGTCAGTGGTGGGGTGATGGATGGACAGACTCTTGGGCTGGGGTCACTCTGAGCACCAGACCCAGCTTGTTCTTTCCTTTCCCTTTCCCCAGTGTAAGCTCCTGCTCCCAGGACAGACCAAGGTGCCTTCTCAGCGTGCCCGAGCCACATCTGGCACCAGCTAGCTGCACATACCTCTGCTAAGGCTTGTCCTGCCCAATGCTGCCTAAATGGAAGGATGGGAGCAGCCACCAGCCATGCCCAGAGACCACTTCAGCTCCAGGACCACCGCTGACAGTGCTGCAGTGCTACCACCTCCCCACTGCTGCTTGAACGAATAAAAGAGCTTGTTCAAGGGATGCTTGTGATGGGTGACTCCTTTCCCCACCTCCTCCTGCCTCTGTCTGGGCCCATTCTCCCACTGCTGCTTTCACCCTGGAATTTCTGCTAGGGAAGAGGATGAAAACAGTTCAGCTGCACACCTAGAGTGTGGTGAGGGAGAAATCCATCCACAGGCATACAGATCCCAGGAGGAGAGGGCGATGGGAAGGGGCTGGCACAAAATACAATGGGGCACTTTAGAGGATGCTCCTGGCAGGGTTGGGGGGGCTCTGGAGAGCAGCATGTCGTGTGTGTTCCGTCCCCCCCCAGCCACTCCCCAGGCTGGATAGGGCTGACTGCCTGGCTGGGGGGATGCAGGAGGCAGACCCCTGCAAGCACTTGGGGCACATCTGGAGGGCAGAGGAGGAGGCTTACATAGACCCAAACCCCAGCTGGCGCCGAGTCCCTCTCTGAACCTGAGCTGGTGGTGAAAACTGAGCTGAAAATTGCCTGTGGAAGCCTGCAGGCAGGGCACAAACCCACGGCTCTAAAGGGGCTCTTGTCAGTTTTGTACAGCTGAGCACTGGGGTCAGAGAGAACGGGAAATGCCAGGAAATATCAGCAGGAGAGAGTGTGAGCAGCCCGAGGGACCTGCCCAGTGCAAGAGCAGAGCCAGGCATTGCCACATGTGCTGCAGGGGCAGAGCATCCCCCAGCCTGTGCTGATGCTCACACATCCCATCATCATATTCTCAACAAGCAGACCCAGCCCATGCTCAGAGAGGAGCCTGCATAGAACAGAGAGAACAGAGAGGAAGATGAGCAAATCCTGGGCAACAGGGGGAAAGGAGCATTTGGGTGGTAGGAGGGAGGAGGCACTTTGCCTCCATCTCCTTCAAGTCCTAAGCAGACCCCATAAGGTGCCCAGCTCCCATCTCTTGCTGCTGCAAGGGTTGAGCTAAGGATCCCCACTGCCAGGCATGAGCAAGGCTTCTGGAGAGGAGTACAAACTGGCCAGATATTAAACCCACCCACAAATACAGGATAAAGCCTCTGGCTGTGGGATCAACATCTCACATGGCCCAAAGCTGAGACTGGATGCTTCCTGGCCAAGGCCAGGAGGAGCATCTGACGGAGCAAATCCTTCCATGGGGATCACCAGGGAAGGACTGGAGGGAGGCAAAGACTCAGAAATTATTCAGTGACCGAGGAGGAGGAAGTCCCCTTATGGTGCAAGGCCACTTCTCTGCTCAGCAGCCAGGGGAGGGAAGGGATAACTGCGAGCCAGGAGAGGCTGAAAACACCAGGTGATCCAGTGGGACAGGGGCTGGAGCTCAACAGCCACATTCCATGTAAAATCAGACCAGCACCATGTCCTACGAGGGGGAAACTCCAGCACCCTTACACCAACCCACCCCTGTGAGCAGGAAGCCCTGTGGCCACACAAGCCATGGGGTGACGGGGCAGAGCCTACCCAGGCAGCCCACAGAAGCCTCATTACACCTCCTGCCAGTCATTAGTCACAGACCACAACCCTCCCTCCTCCACCAGGACCAGCTATTATCAGCTATTAAGCAGGCATTTCCATACAGCTGCCTAATTTGATAATGCTGCAATTATCTTGGTTTGTTAACAAGATTAAATTGCTAATTGGTTTGATTAAGCACAGAGCTGCAGGCATGGGGTATCTCACAGCTGGGTAGTGCTTATGGTCACACACAGCTGGATGGTGGAGTAGCTCCTCCGCTGAGACAAGAGCAAGGCAGCAGCACAGGGGGGGTTCATCCTCCCCAAAAGTGCTGCCTGGGGTCTCCACATCTCCATGTGATGGCCTGGAAAGGTCCCTCTTCCTGCCTTGTGACAGAGCCAGCTTTGCCCATGTCGCTGCTGTCACCCAGCTGCTGGGCCAGGCAGGCAGGAGGGATGGCTTTGGGGCCAGAGGATGCTGTGGGAACATCTGGTCTGCTTCAGTCCTGCAGTGCTCCTGAACAGAAAGCAACAAGTTGGAAATCCCTGAGGCAATGAACCTACTGTGAACATCCACCTGCATCGAGAGATCCTCTCCCCAGCCACAGACCCCTACCTGTGTGCACAGCACTTCCAGCAACACCCAGCTCACCACCAGAGCCGCACTGGGGAGCTCCCATCACAAACCCACACCTCCCCATGCAGGCAGCACCCAGTTGGGAGGAGCTGGGCAATGCACCACGGCATGCATGGTCACTGGATGCACTTAGCTCCTGGCAGCGTGCTTTGACTGAAAATCCTTCGGATCCAGGTCCATGAGGAGGACGGGAATTCCGCTCTGCATCCTAGGTACGTGCCAGAAACACAGCAGGAAAAGCAGTGAGCCCTGTGCCAGAGAAAGAAAGTTTCCACATGGGTTCTTCCTGTGTCATCTGCTGCCCCAGGGCTAGAGCAGCCTGGAGATGGAGGGGTTCATTTCCTCTGCCTGGGGGCTTTGGGATTGCTGCTGTGGGACCTTCTCATGGGAAGAGCCAACCAGATCCAGTGCTGGGGAAAAAAGACAGAGGCAAAGGCTGCACTCAAGGACCCAGCTTTGGGTTACAAACATCCATCACAGCACGGCACAGCACCACTGAAGGGCAGGGAGCCCTGCAGCTCCTTTGGTATGCGGCAGGTCCGGCTTCACCTTCTCTCAGCATTGGGGTTTTGGGGACTGTTGGACCAAAGGAAACATTCAGTGCCCCCTGACATCCCAGGGGATGGGATCCAGAGTGGCTCCTCAGGGAGCCGTCAACATCAGAGGCAGCCTTGCTCCCTATAGGAAAGTACTTTGGTCCACACTGGGGTGGAGACAGGGCAGAGGATGGAGAAGCAAGGTCTCACCCACAGCACACCCAAGCATCTTTTCAGTATATTCCTGGAGTCTTCCCCCTGCATATTTTATGGCTCAGGAGGGCGGGTGCTCAGGGTCTGAATACAGAGCAGTTTGGTGCTCAGGAGCCATGCAAGACCTTTCCAAGAAAGGATTCGAACTAGCCTAGTAAGAATTACTACAGCTTTGATAAATCCTTTACAAAGGGAGGGTTATTCAGCTCGCCTGGCCTGGAGCAGGAAGCTGCAGTCCCAGCAGGATGCAGCCATCACATCAAAATCCAGAGGAGAAGATACCCCAGGAGGAGCGGGTTCACTCAGGTCTACGTGCAGCCCTCATCACCTCTGCAGAGCAGCAGCAGCATTGCCAATGGGTAAAGGAGCCAATACCATGCTGGTCCGCACCAAAAAAGAAATAGATGTAAGCAGTCCTCGCACTGCTGAAGGTCAACATGTGTGTAAATTCACTCTGCACCTTCTTCTCTGGGGTGATTTATAGAAAACTCAGCTCCTCACCTGGACCAAGTCCCTCTCCAGCAGCAGCGAGGGGTGGTCAAAGCCATCTGCTGATGCCCTCCAGCTGTTTCTTTCTGAAGACACAGGGATGCCCTTTTTGTGCTCAGGGTCTTTGCCCTAAACGTGCCTTAGCTCACCTGGCCAGGATGCACCAATAACCCTTTTAGGTGCCTTCCCCAAACACAGTGAGGAGAACACACAGCACTAGACCCACAGTGCTGGGAGGGCAGAGCTTCAGCCTTGGGTTGCACAGTGGAAGGAGGCTGCATTTGCACCTTGGAAGCTTTGAGACAGCCGGGATGGGAGCAGTCTCTTCTGCCTGGCTCAAGCACATCAGCCCAGCTGTGCACTGCAGCCAGCATCAGCCTGGTGGGGAGCCCCAGAGCAGCAGGGTCTGGCAGGGGATGGTGCCATGGTGTGAGGATGCCAGAGCAGCCCACTGCAATGTCTCTCCTGCCCGAAGTGCTGCCAAGCCTCACAAGCTGCTTGTGATGAAGCCCTTCGATCTGACGCAGAAGCAGCTCCGCGTGCCCCGTGACAGCCAAGAGCCAGCAGAGCTGTGCCGAGCCGCTTGGCTCCATCCCGATTCATCCCAGCAGGAATCCTCACCAGGCTGCTCTCCGCTGCAGCCACACAAGGCTGCACACCCAGGGAGCCTGTCGGATACTGGCAGGAGTTTCCTGAGCCAGGGACCCAAAAGGAAAGGAAGGCAGAGAAATGAAGCCTGGCAGCACCCTGGAGCTGGGGGAGATCCCTGCATGCCAGCAGTTGCTTGTCCCCGTGCAGAAAGAGAGCAGAGAAGACAGAGGTATCTCCCCTCTGCAGTAAGGCACTTTGTATGAAGGCATATGTGAGAGCTCAGCAGGAGGCTGGGCAGCAGCAGAGGCAGGGCTCCTCTCCCATGCCCTTTCTGCAGTCCCAGCTCTCAGCTCCAGGGCCAGACCCACAGCCTCTCTTCAGGCCGATGCCTTCATTCAGACAAGCAGCTGGGGTGTTAAGCAAATAACAGCTCTAGCAAAGGCTGACAAAGCACTTGAAGGCTCACACAAAGCAGCTTACAGTGAGGAAAGAACCAGAAGCAACCAAAGCATCTTCTGTAAGCACCCGCCTTGCAATAGCCCCTGCTCACACACCAAACTAATGCACAGTTCCCAACTCATGGCCCACATCCATGCTCTGGGCAAGATCAGGGTCATAAACTCACCCTCAAATCCACCAGTACAGACATCAGGGTACCCACGCATCCCCTTCCAAATGGGGCCACTTACCTGCAGAGAGACCCTCCCCACTGAACCCACTGCCTCCCCATAGCAAGGTGTTGTGGAGGAAAAGGGTGGGCTGTTCATGTTATAGGGCAGCCCAGATGAGCCCCTGCCACTCTCCAGCTCCAGCTGAGGAGGAAAAGCCATTTCCCAGCTCCTTTGGGCCCCACATGGGCTCCTCGTTAGCACCAACAGCATCACACAGGGAAATTCCTGTCTCTTCAGCCCTGCCTGTGCCAAGGCGCACACAGATGCTCCTTTCCCCAACAACTATGTAGGTTAATAACATGCAATGTGATTGCAAGACACAGGGAACCGCAAAGCTATGTCAATATTTAGCTTTTACACGTTTGGCTCATTAGAGAGCAACCTGTGATTCCCTCGGAAGGAGCCACGGCTGCTTCGCCCCTCTCCCTCCCCTTCTGTATGTTCCCAGTTCAGATGGGATAAACGTCAGCTCATTCGCCGGTCGCAAGCGGTCTGTCCCAAAATGCTATTCCCAGGCACTGGATGTCAGAAATCATTATACTAAATAAAGCTTCATGAATGATTCATGGAGCTGGGTTTCACATTAATCAGGGGGAGATGGGCAAAAGCAGCACAGCATCATAGACAGCCCTGTCGTGTTCTTGCACAGGCAGGCAAAAGGAGAGGTTTGGACCTTCAAGGCACAAATTAGAGCTATGGTGCTGATCAGAGAAACACCCAGGACCCAACACGACTGGAGCCTGACCCAGCAGAGACCAAAAGCAGGCAGCGGGCCATTGCCCAAATACCTTTCTGCTTCAGGAGCTCCTGTGACTCGATCACATTAATGAGCCCAGGGCAGCCTGCTGCTGCTCCGAGCACCCTCAGAGATGCACGACTGCTTCCCACATTAACCCTGGTCTCCAGCACGGGGCTGGGCCAGCTCTCGGGTCTCACGTACTGAATCCTTGGCTCTGTGTGCTACAGCCACTCAAAATGGAATGTTGGTGTGAATTGTCACCAGGAGGCTTCTTCCACGCTGCAGGAGAACGGGGTGTCTGCCTGGATGCCGTGCTGCACTCCAGCACAGGCTGGCCACCAGTGGGCATTTCCTTGGGATGCAAATGCTTCTTCCACTGCTCCAAGACTTTGGAAAGAACGTAATGTCCTGAGTACCCAAATTGACCTAAAAACGCAAGCCCTGATCTCTGTAAATCAATGGGAGAGTGATGTGTGCCCTCAACATGGCAGTGTTGGTGGAAGGAGGCTGTGAAGAGTGGGATCCCATGTGCATTTTGCAGGAATGAGGGCCCATGCCTCTCCCAACCAGCCAGGGAGCTCTCATCCTTAGGTCTCTTTCTGCATCCCCGGCTGCTCCTCTGCTGCTTGCTCAAATAATCCTGGTTAAAACCCCTCAAAACTACAGTGACAAGCTGCCAGGCCAGCTGTACAGCAGGGAAAAATCTATAGCTGGCATTCCCAAATCTGTGCTCTGACATGAAGACAGCAGGGATTCTCTGTGCAGCAGTGGAGGAATATCTAACAGGAGGCCAAGGAGCCGTCAGACATCCCTGCTACCTGCCACAGCTCTGCAGCCTTCCTTGGGCCATGCAGTAATGGGGTCAGGATAAAGATGCTGTTTCTCTGAGACGGTGGATCCTGCAGATACTTTCATCCCATAGCAAGCACAGATGAGGGGATGGCATTGGTGGGAGCAGCAAATGTGCCTTGGGGCTCTGCCTCTCCAACACACCCAGGGTCAGAGTGTCCACAGGGTTTGGGTCCCTTCCCTATGGTGACACAGCTAGAAATGTCAAGCCAGACCTATAAATTGCTGATGAATTGTCACTATTGTTGTTTCGCAGGTGGAAGTGCCCCAGTGGCTTTAGGTTCTTGGGGAGCACCGGGCTCTTGTTGCAGCTCTGCCTCCAGCTCCATCTGTGCTGGCAGGAGGGTGAGTACAGACAGAATGACACTCACATGAGGGGAAGACGCTCACCCGTTTCTGTAAGGATGCTGTATTTTGGGACCCTACAGGAGGCTGGAGCAGTGCTGGAGGCGGTGAGAGGGGCTCCGATGTCAGAGGGTCTTCAGGTCTTGAGGCTCTGAAAGATGCCCAGGGGACTTGCTGGCTTCTTCAGTCCTCCTCTGCCTCTCCCTCCTGCAGACACCACCTCTGCATGGGCAGGACACTTCAGGCCAAGGAGCAGGACTTGGTGCTGATGGAGCTGCAGCATCAGCAATCTGCCCCATGGGATGATGGAGTGTGGAAGATGGAGGATGAAGATGGTGATTGTAGGGATGGCACCCCCAGAGCTGATGGTCCTTATTCCACTCCTCCTGCTCAGAGGATGCTGCCATCATGGCTCAGCTTTCCCTCCTCACCATCCTGCTCTGGGGAGAGGCAAGGCTGCATGGGGACAGCTGACAGCATGGGAAGGAGATGCCCAAACCCATCCAGCCAGAGCAACCCCCTCCCAGAGCTCATGGGAGACCTGGGGGGGCACAAACACATCAGAGAGCACAGAAACCACCAGGGGAAAATAGAGTATTAAGGAAAACCCATGTATTGAGTCTTTGCCAGTGCGAATCTAAAGAGCAGGCTTTTGTATCTGCCCTAATTTATCTCTTTCCCTCTGGAAAGGACTATTTGTGAAATGCTTTGTGTCCATGTCCCTGGCATTAAACAGCCCCTGTTGGTATCCGGCTCCACAGATCCTCCTGTGCTCGCAGGTGTGCCAGCACTCATTCCTCTCCATCCCACCTCCTACATGCCACGTACCCAGCAGCTCTGGCCTTTCACAATGGATGTCCAAGGGACTGAAAAGTGCTTGAAGGTTTTTCTTTCAATTAAAGGAGCTTACAGATGTGCTATATTCATACGTACATTCCCCTATTTATTTAATTTATTGCTACATCACCTATTAAATAAAATAAGGCAGAAAGAAGAAAGGAAGGGAGCTGCCACAAGCTGAGCGCCTTTCGGGATGACTCACTGCAGCACTGAAATGGCTGCTGGCTTCAGACTCACCCTGCCTCTGCGATTTGCTTCCAGGCTGCAGAAGAGACCACGGCGAGAGGTTTCTCCCCCCATCCACGCGTTGAGGATCTGCTGTGGGGTGATGGACAAAATCCCCCCCCCGGCTTCTGCGGCAGGAGACCTGCCTTCCCCAGGAGAGGAAGATGGGGGCAGACATGAAAGGAAGGGATGGCGAAGCGTTTCCAGCTGACCTGATTTCCTGCCTGTTCCAGTCTTCACATCACTGCCAGTTAGTTGAGGAGTGGTGGTGGAGGCGCAGGGCTGGTCTGTGCCATGGGGAGCTGCACCCTGCCAGCGCGGCTCCAAACCCCACAGTGTAAGGGCCTTTGCACCTCCGTTTGCTGGGAAAGAGCCTTAAAATGGGCATCTCCCCTTCCTGCCACAGTTTGCCAGTGTCAGTGTCAGGCCAACAAGCTCTGCTTGGCTGATGGGAGAGTCAGGCCTTTCACTTCTGAGTTTGAGCAGCAAAGGGAAAATTCACCTCAGGTGCCACTGATGATGAAGCCAAGCCCCCCCCCCAGAAGGATGGTGCGATGCCAGCACAAGCCTATCCGGGGCCTCAGTAGCCTGGAACGTGAATTTAGCTCTCCTGCAGCCAAGGCTTTGAGCTGCAGAAGGGGACATAGAGGTCTCTCCCCTTCTGGGGTGACCCCTCCATCCTGGGGCCATTACAGGCAGAGCTCTGCCTCACTTCCCACTCAGGCTTCAGCTCCTTCTCACAGCCTAGGGGATGCTCAGCAAACCTCCCAGTGCTGGGAGAGCTGGTTTGGGGGGGACAGGGCTCAGGTCTGCCCTGTGGCTGTGCAGAAAGGAGGTTCTGGTGCAGAAAGTGTTGGACAGAGTGGGGGCCCTTGCGGTGCGAGGCACTGCTCCTTCTCTGAGAAGTGGATGGATGAGAAATGTCAGAAAGGAAAAGGAAATTCACCCTCATCCTGTTATGTCAGTGACAGGCAGAGAAAACCCCATGTGGGAGCCAGGCCTCCTCCCTCCCCATGGGCTGCACCCTGCTGGGCCTCAGCACTCACTGAGAGCTGGGCTGGCAAGTGCCCGGAGCAGACAAAGCCGGGCATGTTTATCTTGCAGCTCCCAGGGATGCTCAGCCATCCCTAATTGCCATAAAAATAAATGCTTTTTGCTCCGTATCACAGAACAGAGGAATTTCCCCCAGGGTTGTTTTATTTTTCCTCCTCAGTTTGGCTTTTTTTTCCTTTCTTTTCTGAGGCCTCCCTCAAAGTCATCCCTTCCCCCTCCCTCCGCTGCCTCCTTCCCATGTAAACAAGCACACGGCACACACAGTCTGACACATCACACACATGGAGACACGCTGATGGCCCCGCAGCGGGGAGAGCTGCCTGGCACAGGGAGGCGGGCGTGCGGGCAGGGGAAAGATGCTGGCCACTGGAAAGAGCTCCCAGCCGGCCTCGGGCAAGCCTGGGGAAGGGTGAGAGCCCACAGGCTCCATCCAGCCCCTCGGGCTGGAATCAGCAAGCCGATGGATCCAATGAGCAGAGTGGCGTGAAGTCTCACCCCTGTGAGCTGCCTGCCTGACGCGGTTGCAATGAGCCATCGCTGTGAGGACATGCAGCCCCAGCCATCACCTCGGGAAGGTCTCACATCCTCTCTTCCACGTCCTTCTGCTCCAGCAGCTGACTTCTGGGGGAGCTGGTGTGCTTGCACCGGTCGCCAGGCTGTGTGGGGATGGCTCCAGGTGGTGACAGCAGCTCCGTGACCTGAAACCCAGCGTGTGCCATGCCCAGGACTTGCTGCCTTCACCCACTTCCTGACGAGCCTTCCAAGAGCCAACGGCGAGCTCAACAAGCCAGGGGGGCTCTTCCCCGGGGGGCTGCCCCCGGTGCCCTACGTACCCCTCATCACAAGGAGAAAGATGGAGCTGGATCGCATGGAGGGCGACTGCAAGGGCAGAGGTGCATTGTCCACATGCGAGGTGTCACCACTACTGGGGCCCTGCTCAGCCTGACAGCCAGGTCAGGTTCTGCTCGCTGCCCACCACACTGCTCAGCCCCCCGGGGCCTCACTTGCCCCTTGAGCAGCTTTGCAAGGTGCCGCTGAGTCCTGTAGCCCTCTGCGGCTCCCATCCGCCGTCGCACGGGCTGCGGAGGGCACTTCCAGCAGGTAAGGCCATCGATCGTGGCGGCTGTACCCGCTCCTGACCCCGCTTTCCCCCCGGGCATCCCTGCACAGAGCTCGGGGGCTACCCCGGGGGGACCGCGCTGCTCCGGCCCCACCTCGCTGCTGAGGGACCGGGAACGGAACCGGCTTCGCCTCCCCGCGGCTCCGGGCGGGCGGGCCGGAGGGTGGCACCCCCGGGAGGGGCGGCGGGGCGGGCGGGAGCAGGGCCCCCCCCTTCGGCCCCGCGGAGCTTCAGCCGCCGCCGCCGGCCCCGCAGGGCTCCGCGGCTCCGCGCCGGGCGCGCACGCTGCGGCGGGAGCGGCGCCGAGGCAGGTGAGCGGCGGTGCGGGGCCGGGTCCTGTACCGCGGGGACCCGGGCACGGGCACCAGGGAAGGGGGGACTGGGGAACCCGCATCCCGGGGTGCTGCAGCCACCGCGGGGACCCGGGCATCGGCATCCCGGGGCGCGGCGGGGACCGTGAGATCCGCAACCCAGGGACCAGCGCGGAGCGAGGCACCGGCATCCCGCTAACGCGGGGTACCAGCATCTCCGGGCACTGCAGGGATCAGCACCCTGGGGCGCGGCAGGCACCCGGTGCACCGGCATCCCGGGGTGAGAGGGCAAAGAGATCAGCGGCATGCCGGAGCGAGCAGGGATGGGGGGAGCGACACACCGGGATGAGCGGGGAAGCGAGGCACCGATATCCCGGAATGAGCAGGGAGCCGCCGTGCTGCACCCACATGCCGGGATGCTGCTGGGACGCGGGGCATAGGGATACTGCTCCTCTGCAGGCGGGGGTAAGAGAGTCCTTCTCCCTGAAGCCGCCTCATCACAGGGGCCACCCCTCGTCCTCTCCGTGGAACAGGGCTGGGTGCGGGGGTCCCCCTGGGGAGCTGTGCACCCACTAAGAGAGACCTGGGAGCAGAGGCTGGCTCAGGACAAGGCATCACCCGCAGCAGGTCCTGGGCTGCCTGCTCGCAGGAGAAAGCCGAGCTATTGGTAATGACCCCTTCCTGCACCCTGAAGCGAGTAGGGAGTTCCCCTGCCAGCTGCATCCCCAGCCCTCGGTGTACAGCCCTCAGTGGTAGCTTCTCAGTGTACAACAGCAGCTTATGCTCTGTTGCAGGGAGCAGACAGCAATGGGAATTCCCCTTCTATGCTCCTTCCTGCCCGCTTGGAGAGCTGCTCACCTTCAAAACAAGGGCTTGGTCCTGAGCATCTTCAGGCCGATGGGTACAGGGCTGCTCAGTGATGGAGACGGGGCTCTGCAGGGGCATTTCTGGATAAGCAGAAAGCAGGCGTCTCTCCAGTCCTGACCCATCACACAGCTGCTAGGGACACCATCCTGCAGGAGCTGGGAGGTCAGCCAGCCCACTCCCCCCATCAGGTACCCAGGAAGGGATCCCCAAACCTACCCCAGCCCCATGGGCATCCCATGCAGGACTTCTGCAGTGGTTTGCAGCCACAACACCTGCACACCCAGGACATGCAGGTGTCACCAGGGTGACAGAGCATTTAGGATGGGACTACAGACAAAGGATAAGGGTTTCCTCCTCCTCTAGGCATTTCTAATGAGATCCTTTGAGACAAATCACATGAATCCCTGCTGGGAAGCCTTGCTGAGCTATAAGTACAGGGTTTCTTATTTGGACCGTTAATCCAAATCCATTGTATCTTGTTGGAAAAGGCCCAGTGTGCAATACTCCCTGCACTTGCTGCATCCTCACTTGAATGTCTATTAGCATCTTCCTTCCCGCTGCCTTGGTTCCCCTCTGCCAGTATAAATACTCCTAACTTCCACTTGAAAGCCTTTAAGAAAATTTATGTTGTCAAGGGAAACTCTTCTTGCATTTCTTACAGAAATGCTTGATCTGTTGTTATATTTTCACTGTCATAAATGCATACATCAGAGATGTCTTCCTCCAGGAGGTACAGATCCATTTGAACACCCAGCTCACACTGGGCTTGTGTAATTCTAATGGTTGTCTCTTTAAAATAGCTTACAGTGTATTTCAAAATTGACCAGAAAGAGACTGGGTCTCTTCTGTTCTCCTTTCCAATCATTCATGGAAATTTGGGGTTGACTAAAGGGAAATCTTGCCAGTTCCCATCCCTGCAGACAGACACATCTGTATTCTCTGTCCATTGTGCTTTAAAGTAAAACAACCACCCAGCCTTCCCAAAGTAAGCTTGTTTCCCAGCAGATACCGCTGCAAATGCAAGGTGGGTGCATGCTGTGATGATCCACAGCGGAGATGATGCCAGGGCTTAGTTCAAACCCTGGTTTTGTTCTAAAGTTGAGCTTAGCTGGTCATGAAACAAGTAGACAAAAGAGTTATAAAACTATTAATTGCTGCTTTAGATTCCTACGTGAAAGCTGTATGTGGGCAGAAATTTGCTCTATTCAGAAGTGAACATCAGAAAGGAGCATCTCAGTTCGTGACCCTTCTCCTCGTGCTGCTTCCTGCGTGGGATGCAGGGGGGGATGGAGGGATTTCCCTCGGTACAAAGGCTCACAGAGGCCTGGTACCTTCTGGTTTTCTTTTGAGCTGTGAGGCACCTCCCTCCTGGCTCTTCGGGTTTGGCACATCTCATCCAGAGCCATCGTGGCACAGCACAGCCATGCACTGCAGATGGGTCTGCATCCCTTTGGGCTTGTCCTGACATCCCAGCGCAGCCCCTATAGCCCCTTAGGCTGCCCCATGCCTCAGCCCAGCCCCAAGACCACCCTGCCTTTGATTACAGTGACATTTGGCCTGGTTTCCCAGAGCGGCTGCTCTACAGGGAGGGTGCAAGAGTGGCCGAGGATGGGTGTGGGATGAGCAGGATCCCACAGACCCACCCGCACGGCCCCTATGTGTGTGTGTGTGTGTAGCCTGAATGCATGAGCATCCTTCTGGAAGGAACCTGGATTCTGGATTAGTCATCCCCACCCCACAGATGGGCTGTGTGATGTCTTCCCTGGAAAAGCTTTTGTCACAGAAATTCCGATTTGTCCCTGAAAAGGAGTGTTTACACCCCTTTTTCTCCCTTGCTTTTGTCTTAACCATTAAAAAAGTTGATCCTTCTCTTTTTTCCCCTCTCCTTTGAAAGGCAAGACAATGAGTCCATTAAGCTCTGAGGCTTACCACAACCCAGTTGCCTCCTTCAGAAATGGTGTAGTGGGAAGTGCTGGCTTTGTGGTGCAAAGCCTGTATCTTTAAGGAGCCCTGGCTGGGAGATGCAGTGGAGTTAGCAGATGCCTTTGCCAGGCTATTTCACACAAATCTGGCATTTGCTGCACCCACAGCCCTGCTCAGCTTAAAAATGTGCCTCTCGGGTTTATTTCTAGCCATTATTCCATTACCTGCCCAGCTCTGCTCTGACCTCCAGATTTAGATGTGGAAGGGTACCCCAGGTCCCTCCTCGTCTGACAACCTTTTATGCTGTGTCTCTCAGACGCTGGAAAACATGCAGAGCCCTTTTCCTGCCCCCTAAACCCCATGAGATGTCCAGTGAGCAGTGCCAGGCTGGGTGCAATGGGGTCTGCAGGGGAACCGGGGTGGGGGGGACCCACCTCATATCACTTACGTGGCATTCAACCCTAGTGTCTGCTGTCCGAGCAGCCTGTCCCATGTAGGGTCTGGTGGCACCTCAGCATCACCATAGGGACTGATGCAGCCTTTTCCCTTGGCTCCTGCTGCCTCCATCCCTGCAGCACCTAAAAGTTTGAAGGCTTCAGTGGGTGACACAAGACAGAGAAGGTGAGGGATTTTCCATTAGGATGGCTGATTAAAACCAGGGAGGTGAAGCCTTTGAGACAGGAGACAGGCCAGTCTGGAGGTCACAAATACCTGCAGCATAAAACATCATTGACTACAAAAGTCATGTTGGTACCAGCAGTGACCCTGAAGTGCAGAGCTCTGGAGCAAGTCACGCTGATAGCGGGGCTCTTCCCAATTAATCGATGTGTGGGTATAAAGTGTAATTCCTCAACCAATGCAGTGTCCTTCCTGAGGACACCCAGAACGCTGGTGCCAGGAGCAGAGGGACCATGTGGGTACAGGGATGCTCTGTGTTTCCCCAGGCATTTTGACAAATAAGGTAGGTGGAGAAGTCTGATTTCAAATGGGTGCAAACCTTTTTATTTGCTTCTTATTCTAAGCTTCTGGTTGAGAGGTGTAAATGCATATGAAGGTGTGGGAACGCTGTTCTTTGTGAGATGCTTCAACTGCTTCTCATTAAAAAAGGGAATTTCTGCTGCAGGGAAAAGCCCGGCCCCCTGAAACTTTGAAAACCCTGAAACACAACAGAAAGCAAAACTTGGGTGTTTATTTCCCTGCCAATACACCCATTTTTTAATCCAATCATCAATGATTCTGAACCATGTTTTTGTTATGTTTCAACATTATTAAAACAATCTTAATATTTGACATGACAGAGCACACAGGAGGAAACAAAGCAGGCAGATGAATTGTTTTGACACTTCTTTCACTGAAATTCCCTCTAAAAGTGACACCTTCTGTGAAAACACTTTGATTTGAGCAAAACTGCCTTTGCTGCTGGGAACACTGCACCATCTAAGAATTTTTTGACCAGGTCTAATTAGCAATGTGGGAGTCGGGGTACAAAGCTCTTTGACAGAATCACTGCGGTCGGGATTGGATGATGATGATATTTTTCCATGGGGGAGGCTCTCTGGGGGATAAATCCTCTGTTCAGTGACTAATTACCTGTTTGAACAAGGAAAGCCCCATGATGAGGTGCTGGGGGTGCAGGAAGCTGCTTTCCATTAGCAATGTGTGAAGGGAGAAACTTTTAGAGGTAAAAATGAAGGAAAAGTTTCACCTGGAAAAATCGTTGGCTTTTTGTCCTTTTGCTTTCCACACACACCAAAGATTAACTGCCTAAAGCTGGTTCGCATCCCTCCCCTCTACCTTATCCTCACCTTTCAACATTCAAACACCCCTCCTCACTCCCCAGGGTACTCCTGCCCTCCACCCTGTAGTACCAGGGTCGTAGGGAGCCCTGCGTCCCCTCCAGCCCCGCTGTGTCTCACCCGCAGGTGGAACCGGCTCCCGCTCTGCTGATCATGGTCAACAAGACCTTAACTTACTGGGGTCCCAGTTTTGAGGAGGACGTTATCAACATCAACGTGGGGGGCCTGAGAAGGCGGCTCAGCTCCAGCGCCCTCTCCAAGTTCCCCAACACCCGCCTGGGCCGGCTGCTGTCCTGTGACTCGGAGGAGTCCATCCTGCAGCTCTGCGATGACTACGACGTGAGCGCCAGGGAGTTCTACTTTGATCGAAACCCTGGCTTCTTCCTCTACGTGCTCCACTTCTACCAGACGGGGAAGCTGCACGTCATGGAGGAGCTGTGCGTCTTCTCCTTCTGCCAGGAGATCGAGTACTGGGGCATCAATGAGTTCTTCCTGGACTCCTGCTGCAGCTATCGCTACCACGAGCGCAAGCTGGAGAGCCGGCACCACAACTGGGATGAGGAGAGCGAGGTCAGCAGCGTGGACACGTCCCCCGATGAGATCTCTGACATCAACCACGACCTGCTGCGCTACAGCACGCTGCGCTGCGGCAACGTGCGCAAACGCCTCTGGCTCACCATGGAGAACCCCGGCTACTCCATCCCCAGCAAGCTCTTCAGCTTCGTGTCCATCAGCGTGGTGCTGGTTTCCATCGCCACCATGTGCATCCACAGCATGCCCGAGTACCAGGAGGTGGATGAGAACGGCAATGTGCTCGATGAACCCATCCTGCACAAGCTGGAGTACTTCTGCATCTCCTGGTTCACCTTTGAAGTGTCTTCTCGCCTCCTGCTCTCGCCCAGCCCCAGGAAGTTCTTCAAGCACCCGCTGAACCTGATTGACATTGTCTCCGTGTTGCCCTTCTACTTCACCCTCTTGGTGGACCTGACCGTGGGCAGTGACTCGGAGCTGGGCAACCTGGGCAAGGTCGTGCAGGTCTTTCGGCTCATGAGGATATTCCGGGTGCTGAAGCTGGCTCGGCATTCCACCGGCCTGAGGTCGCTGGGGGCCACCTTGAAGGTAAACTGGCTTTTTATCTCCTTATTTAATCCTTTAGTCTCTAGGCAAGGAGAAGACTTCTGGTATGGCCTGGGGATGTGGACAGAGCCTTTCCCAATAAGCTGCCAACTCTGGGGGGTGTCTTGGGGTGGCAGGCACCCTCTCCTCCCACTTAGTGTCTGGCAGCTCTGGGTGTTGCTGCTTCTGAAGGGCAGGGATGAAGGGGAACACCCTCTTCCTTGCTGCTGCAGCAACAGCAGGACCAGCACAGGATGTCCTGGTATGGGCAGGACTTGTTGAACCCATTCCCATGTGTAAGCCATGGAGGAAAGCAACCCTGGAGTGTGGCTGGGGATGGGCAGCAAGCAGGAAAGTTCTGCCAACTTCTGCTGTAAAGCAGCACCAGCCCAGCCCAAACCCTGCAGAGCTCACAGGGCATCAGAATAAGTGGAGGGAAAAAATTCCTGGCATCCTCAAAGCCTGCTTAAAACAGCATCCAGGGAGGATTGTTCAAAATGAGGATGCCTCAAGTCCTACCTGCATCGTGCTTCTGAGCACTCACCTTGAAGGAGCAACCAGCGACAGACCCGTGTAGCACTGCTTGCAAAATTCAAACCACATTGTACACTTGGGAAGGGCTCCCTGAACCCTTTCTGTGCTCCACTTAGGCGTGAACAACACACTGCAGCAGAGCAGGACTGATGGGCTCATCTGCATGATATTAAGCAGCAGACGAGATGCAGGGAGCCAGCAGCATCCCGGCTCCGACCTCTGCCGAGCCGCTGATTCACCGAGTGACGCGCTCCAAAGTGCCGCTTCCCGGGGACTCCGGAGCCGGCTGTGAGCGAGGATGAGTGAAGACACAGATCTGACGCAGCAGCCTGGCGTTGTGATTTAGTGGGCACATAAATTACAACGTCTTGTTAATCATAATTTACTTCCTCTTGCCAGAGCATAAAGCAGCAGCAGAGGAGTAAAGGCTGTTAACAGCCAGGAAGTGGGAGCGATGGCTCTAGCAAGCTGAGTAATTGTTCCCCTACCACGAAAGTGCTAGCAGAGGGATTTCTGCCATTTGTGCATCATAAACGCTGAACGGCCTTCAGATTGCCTGGGGCCTGATCCAGGGTCTATTTAATTTGAGAAGAGGCTTCCCCCTCCTCTTCCCCCTTGCCATACACAACATCCATTACCATTATTGCAGCTTCCCCAGTGTGGGCTTGGTGCCCATCTCCCACTGGCAGTCAATAGGTGTGAGGCCCTGAGTAATTTAGGCATCTGCAGGGACATACAGAAGTTGTTCTCTGTCCCCTCAGGGGCCTGAACACACAAATAGATTGGAAGATCCAAAGCTGCACGTCCCCAGATGGCAGATGCACCATCCTGCTGTCGCTGCCATGGGCCATCTCTGTGCTTGGTCCCCACACTGGTGTCTCCAGCCAGGCTCAGACTGTGGGCTTTCATCCCATTTGTCTTCTGCTGTACTGGAGAAAAGATGTTCATTCAGCAGGGGAAGGAGCCCACGCACATCCCCTGACTGTCCCAGGGCAAGCAAACCCCAGGCTGAGTCAGGAACACAAAGAGACTGCTGCCAGGGTGCTGTTTTCTGCAGCCTTTTATTGCCCGGCATGGCATCTCCCAAGGCATCCCACCCAAACCATGGCTAAAAGTGCGTTCCCACCCGAACCCCAGCTGCCTTCCCCTGGGTCAATGGGCAAATCACACATTACCAGGGTAACTGGCTGCAAAGAGGTGCCTGAGGATCAGCTGGGGGATTCCTGGAGCCACCCCTATGCTTGTAAATTAAAGCAGTAGGATCTACTGGGGTGCCTGACTTCCCCTTCACCTTCCAGCACATCCCAGGGACATAACTGATACCCTTTAAAAATGCATCAGGTTATTTGTCTCTGCTGCTCCCCAGCTGGGATGTAAGGACGTGTGTTAAGCTCCAGCCAGGAGCAAGGCTTTCATGGCCAAGTGATACAAACTTGGTGGCTCTGAGCTGTTTGTCCTTCACGAGGAGCTCCCTTGGAGCTGCTATAATGCATCTGCAGCCACAGGCGATGGCGGAGGAGGAGATTATTTCCCCTCGGCATAGCTGGCAATAGCTGAGCATCTTTTGCCAGCAGTCAAAGTGAAGTCTTCTCGCTCCCTACTGAGAATCCACCTCTTTTATGTCTCGTCTTGACCATGGAAGCTCTTTTCCCACGTCTTCTGCTGTTTGCTTTGCTCAAATGTTGTTTCGTTTAGTCATCGTGTGGTCTCCAGTAAAGCATTTCCTGCCTCTTAGGAGACTGGGAGAAAATAAACCCCGTCAGAGCTCTGCTTTCCTTTCCCCAAAGATGAAAATGAAGCTGGCAGTTTGTCAGGCAGAAACGTTCAGGGAACGTACTTGTGACCATCGAGAAGCGAGTGGACCAGCCATGCTGTGAGGCTGATGGTGGCTTTGGCACTGGTGTGAGGTTGGCCTGGCCTGGCTTCACCTAGGGTCTGTCTATGGGGTAGTTTCTGGGGACCCACCAAGATAACAGGACAATGTGTTTAAACTGAGATCAGGCTGGAGTGAGTGCTGCGACAGGGGAGTAGCTTCTGCCTGGGAGCCCTGGCTGGGAAGCACAAGGTTGCCTTTCCCTCCCAGCACTGCTGTGGAGGGCAGAAGGGTGGCTGTGGGTGCCAGGGATGATCTCCCCACTGCCCCACTCACGTGGGTCACCCCCAAGTCCCCCGACCCCTCTTAGCCCAGCCCCAGGGGACATCCCATGGCAGAGGTGGACAGGGGCACTGGGGATGTGCAGGGCTGTATTTGCGCTGCAGCATCCCCGTGTCCTGGCCGAGACAGGGGTGGTGCCACCCCCACCCCGACCATCACTGACCACTGCTCTGCTTTGCCTTCCAGCACAGCTACCGGGAAGTGGGCATCCTGCTGCTCTACCTGGCCGTGGGGGTCTCTGTCTTCTCTGGTGTGGCCTATACCGCTGAGAAGGAGGAAGACGTCGGCTTCGACACCATCCCAGCGTGCTGGTGGTGGGGCACGGTCAGCATGACCACCGTGGGCTATGGCGATGTGGTGCCCGTCACCGTGGCAGGCAAGCTGGCCGCCTCAGGCTGCATCCTTGGGGGCATCCTGGTCGTGGCGCTGCCCATCACCATCATCTTCAACAAGTTTTCCCACTTCTACCGCAAGCAGAAGGCGCTGGAGGCGGCCGTGAGGAACAGCGGGAAGAAGGACCCCGAGGATGCAGGAAGCATTTCCAGCCACGACCGAGACTCGGAGGCTCTGAGCGAGAGCTCCATGGGCAGAGGCAGCCCCGACCGCCGCGGTCTGACCCCCGGCTCCCACCACACTCCCTGAGCCCACCGCGCCGCCGCACCGGGGACCTGCTTGCTCACGGTGAGCACGATATAGCTGTTGCACCAGGATGTGGCGCCTGGCATCGCCCCTGCCCTGCAGAGGACCAAGGAGGGCTTGGAGGAGATGCCCATGTGCTTCCAGCCCCCGGGATGCAGTGGCTGGGTCCTCCTGGATGTGTCTCAGCCTTCACCCAGCGATGGCTGCAGACAGATGCTGCGGCACTGGACAGAGCCCTGCCACAGAGGGGGTGAGAAATAAAGAAATAGAGGGGACCCTGATCAGGCTCTGCCCTGGCTGCCTGAAGGGGGAATCTTCCTCTGCCCTGAGCTTTTGTGTTTTCCAGGGTGAGGTTTAGGAGCTTGAGAGTGGGGCAGCCCCCACCCAGGCTGGCTGCCCTTGCAGGCCCTGTACAAGTTTGGCATCAGCTCAGCCCCAGTCCTACCCCAGCTGGAAACAGCGCTCAGCTGTCCCAGCAACCATGGGGAAAAGGGCTGGAAATGAGTCTGGGTGGGAGGAGAGGTGGTGCTCAGCTCAGGGTGAGCCCCACTGTCCCCAGCCCCTGCAGTGGGATCCACCGGACCTCACCTTCCTTCCACTGCAGTTGGAGTTTAACTGGTCTCTGAGCTGCCACCACTGGGACCCGCAGGGATGTGGGGCTGAGGCTGCACCAGGAGCACTGTCCAGGAAGCAGGGACACCAACAAAAGGGACACTGCCCTCCAAGGCCCCAGCAGCCAGAGGAGGTGAAGCTGTGGGAATCGAGGGGCTACCCCCAGGAGGGCTCACCCCCCCCAGCCCTTTGCTCCATGGGGCTCCCAAGTGCTCTGTGTGGCTGCTGGCCCCCAGCTCCTGGGGCAGGGAGGAGGCAGAGTCCCTGCAAAGGGCTGTCAGGGAGCGGATGCGGGGGGATGCTCCGGGGCATGGATGTGCCAGTGCCATGTGCTGGTGATTTCCACTGCACAAAGAGCTGCAGGGAGCCCAGCAGCTGGTGATGGGGTGGTCGAGGTGACCGACGCCAGCCGGGTTCAGCACATGCCCTGGTCCCCCTCGCCACAACCTCCAGCCTGGCTTCATTCTGCTGCCTCGTCCCTCCCTGCCTTGGGGCCAGGCAGGGGCAGGAGTGCCTAAGCAGGTGGTCACACTGTCCCACTATCACCTCTCCCTGGGTGCTGATGCTCTCGCCTTCCCTCTGCAGGGGGGGAGCACCCCAATGTCTGCAAGAGGCCAGGAGAGAGGGGACCTTGCTCTGCTCCCCCTCACTGCAGCCTCTGGGCACCTCACAGCCAGCAGGGAGATCCACCCAGAGCACCAGGCCCCCTTCCTGCCTGGATCCCCAACCTGGCTGAGCACACTGGGGGCTGCTCCCAGCACAGCATTAATTCCCTATGGAGTTCTCCCTTCACCCCCCAGTTCTCTGTTTGGAAACTCGTGGCTCCTTTGTGCACAGAGGAGTACACCCTGTATTGCAGTGCCAGTCCTGAGCAGGAGGAATGTGCACCCTGCAGTCATCCCATCAGCCCCAAAATAGGTGGATGGCTGCAGGGTGGCCCCAGGCTCCTGGATCCTGGTGTTTGCCATGGGTTGTCCTGGCTGGCTTTCGGCACAGCCACAGCTCTGCCTGTAGCCATCTGCTCATCATAGGGAAGAAAAGTCAAACCAGTGTCAGCATGAACCCCAATGGGGTGCAGGGAGGGATCCGCAAGGAGCAGTGGTGTGGGATGGGGGGTGCTCACCCTCCTGGCATCATCAAGTCTTCCAGCACTGACAATCTGTGGTCCGCTCTGCGCTCGTTCTTACTGCAAGCTGGGACTGGTGAGCAGCATCGTCCGCTCCACCCAGCTCCCACTGCACTGTTACTTGAATAAAGGAAGGAGTTTCCCCTTCTCTCCATAAGTATTCCAGTAGCAAACTGTATTAAAATGTGAAGACTGAATTACATGTATTAATTAAAAAGCATTATGCAAATAATAAAGAGCATGTAAATTAATTTTCTATCTATGCATGGGATGCATACTGTATATTTTATTAAAGACCTAAGTGACCCACTTTGCACACTGGTTTTGTTTCGCGGCAGCGTGGGGCTGGGCTCATGGTTGGTGCAAGCAGCCCTGGGAAGCAGATGGGATAATCCATCCCTATGAGCCATCTCCAGCATCCTCTTGGTGCACAGTAGAGCTCCCACTCATGCAGCCCTGCCTCGTCCCTGTCCCAGTGGTGGGTGATAGTCTTTGTGCCTGGACCACTGGAGCCGTCCCTGATGGAGAATCCTGGATAACCCATCTCCTTGGGGGCCCAGTGAATGGGACACCCCTGGAGTGAGAGGGGATTGGTTGGAGGCGGCAGGCCCTGGGAAGAGCAAGAATCTGCAGAAACAGCCACACTGTGATCAGCAACACCCAGGGGCACGAGAGCTGAGCTGCCAGTGAGAGCTAAACCAGTGCTGGGAGCCGAGGAGCAGCAGTTGCCATTCCCCCTAATAGCCACTCTTGGATAAAGAAACCCATTTTATGCCCAGGCTCATGGGTTATGTTTTGGGCTACAAGGAGAAAAGGCTCAATTTTCAAAGGAAATACAGCTTACAGCTCAAGTAGCAAGAGTCCTTTGCTTAACTTGGTTAAACACCGGTTCAGGCACCCCTTTGTCAGCAGGAGGCTGGAGGATGTGTGCGTGTTCCCAATGGCTCCCAGCTGCAAAGGCAAAGCTCAGCCCAGTTTCCAGTGTCCAGCCAGCAAACTGCCCACGACAGGGACTGCAGCCACCAGCAGATGTGGGCTGTCACTGATAAAGCTACAGCACCACAGGCTGCCTCTGGCCAACGCTGCTTGTAGTGCTGAGAAGTTCCTTAGCCCCTTGGAAGGTTTAGAAGAGCCCTAAGGAGAGCACTGCACAGCACCAGGCTGCCTAAGGAAGAAAGGCCTTGGCACCTGCAGGGGGGTTTAAGCCCTTGGAGCAGAGGCTGAGCATCAATCACAGCATGAACAAGCCCAGCATCAGCTCTTTGCAGAGAGCAGATATCCCACCAGCGTGTCCAGTGTCTGCACAGGGATGGCTGCTCTCCGGGAGCTGGTTCTCCACTGTTTCAGGGGTGCAGTTTGTGCCCTTTTGGCTTTATCCTCCTTCATCCTGAAGGCAGCAGAGAAAGTTGAACCAGCTCCTGATGCAGCCTCTCCGATGCTCTGAAATGGGGGGTGTTTCTGGGCTGTGTGTCTGCAGGGGGGTGGCTGGGCAGGGGGAGGCTTACTGCTGCTCTTCCTGTGTCAAGCACATTCCTCTGCTAGATGTGATAGGAGGGGAAGGCTGAAAACAGAGTTTAAGCTTTATTCCTTCTGAGGGTTTTTCCATTAAACCCCCCCCCAAACCCCACCTGCTGCTAACCTTTCCAAGGGAAAAGCTTCCCTAACGTGGGGGTTCAAAGCAAGGCATTGAAGGACATCCCACGAGCCCTTGGAAGGGACTGCTCTGTGAGAGCTCCAAGCAGGGTTTGGGAAAGCCACGAAAGATGTGTTCTTTTTTTAGGCTCCTGCTCTCGGTGAAGGCATCAGGATCTGAATGGCTCTGAGTAACTGCACCGGGAAAAGCCTCCCACTGCTCTGCAGGCAGATCTAGCAGAGCTCGAGCTCTGCAGAGCGGGGAAGAACTGGGTGCAGGAAGGTGCCCAGCATCAGAGGAGTGGGTGATCACAGCCCACGTTTGCCTTAGCAAGGCACTTCTGCGCAGCGATGGCTTGCCAGGACTGGTCTGACTTGCTATTTCTAAGGCAAGTAGGAAATTCATGTTCTTTTGCTAATTCCTAATCAGTGTTCCCGGGAGCGGCTGCGTTTTCGTTTGGTACAGAGGGTAAATCAATTACCCGCTTTCATCAGGTTATTGCTGCAGGAGCTGCTCTCCACAATCACAAAGCGATTGATGAAAGAGGGGATTTTGCCTCCCGGGAATGGTCAATAAGGAGTGACCTTATTAAGCTCTTTCGTGCAGCTGAGAATGAGACACCTCTGCTCAAAGAGACAAAGTAAACTTCATTACTTTGGTTTAAAACTTCTTTTCCTTTGCCAGCTTCCCAACCTGTGACTACCCTGAGAGTAGGATGTGCACTCCGCTGGGTGTTGGAAAACTGGGAGGTTTTAAAGGGATGGTTCTGTAGGGAGGGAAGACTCCTCAATGGCAGCGTTTTGGGATGTCTCCTGCCCACAGGATCTTGATCTCAGCAGAGTTCAGGGGGTCAAAAATCAGTGCTTGAGTAGGCCCGTGTTGAATGAGCACTACTTGTAATTCCTGTATTGTCTATTAAATTTAAAAGGCAATTAAGTCCCTTTCAGTGTGGGAAGAGCTGATGGGTGTTCTCTGGTTTGATCCTGTAGAGCTTTGCCAGGGTGTTAAATGCAATGAAGAATCGTGTCCTCTCAGGTCAGGGCTGTCAGCCAGCACTCCAAGCATTCATCTACAGCACGCGCTCAGACTCTTTTGGCCTGTGGACAGGAGGAAATGGGACAAAAGGAAAAGAGTAGCTGGGCATAAACGACACCGGCACACCAATACCTGGACCTTAGTACTGATGAGTATTATGTGAGGAGGAGAAAAACTGCTGGTGCCACAGGCTCCGTGGAAAGTTGACTTTTCCCTCCCTGGGGATGAAAAAGCTGGCTGAACATCAGCCTCAGCCCATGGCTGCCTGCAGTGTCGGGTTTGTTACTTGGATGGGACTAATACTTGTGCAAGAAGGTGCCCTACTCCAGCATGAAGGGAGTGCAGGGCAACACTCCCCTGGGATGGCTGCAGTGCTGGCCATGCAGCCCTTCCTTCATGCTGGGGCTCCACAGCAGCCTGAGATGTTGCTGGGAAATGCAATCTCTGCAGGCTTTCCCCGTTACTAGAGGTGCCCCAGTCTCCCTCCCTTTGATTTCCATGCTCCGTCCTCTAACATTCCAAAGCTCACATCTATGTTGTTTCTTCCGGGATTGCTAAAGCAAGGCTGACTCCTGAATGAATTCTGGATCTCGGCTTCGGTTAGTCATCCCTCCAGGACAGATTTAGTAACCGCTCAGGGAAACCACGTAGGACCCTGCAGTTCTCCATGGAAGGCAGCTCCCACTCACTGTCAGCTTCATCTTTGTCTGACCTAGAAAGCTGGAACTGCAGCCAGCCAGCGAGGGTACGGAGTGTGAGCCTCCAGCCCCACCTGGTGCGAAGGGAGGCTGATAAACTCACACGTACCTAGTCCCAAACCTGACTGCAGGCACGGCAAAGTTCCTGCAGTGAAGTAACAGAGCAGAGATAGAATCATAGAATCCTAGAATAGTTCGGGTTGGAAAGAACCTTACCATCATCCAGTTCCAACCCCTCTGCCATGGGCAGGGACACCTTGCTCAAAACCGTATTACCCAAGGCCTCGTCCAACCTAGCCTTGAACACTGCCAGGGATGGAGCATTCACAACCTCCCTGGACAACCCATTCCAGTGCCTCACTACCCTAACAGGAAAGAATTTCCTTCTTATATCCAATCTAAACTTCCCCTGTTTAAGTTTGAACCCGTTACCCCTTGTCCTACCACTACAGTCCCTATTGAAGAGTCCATCCCCAGCATCCCCATAGGCCCCCTTCAGATAGCAAATAGCCACAGCAGAGCTCATTGTGCCCATCTGCCTAAGCACTCCCTGGGCAAATGAACCTCCTGCGTCTGCAGCTCCAGGAAGGG